AGCTGTCTTGTGGAGAATAGCCATATGAATTGCCGGATGAATCTAGCCGAATCACACTTGAAGGAAGATGACTTGTCCATTCTTGGGAGAATGATGCTTTACATCTTTCAAAAAAAAATAATTTTGACGAGTGTGTTTTTCCAGACATCCATCTCCAAACATGCATGCTTCGATGCCTTGGCCGTGCTGTCGCATATCCATATAGGCTCAGGAAGGCTCAGGGGGTCACGGTGTGTGCAAAAGGGCGTGGTTCGCCGCTTCATGGGTGTTGGCCAGGGACGCCACTAAATCGAGAAGTGTAACAAGTTTGGACAGGGAATCCATTATCTATCCTTGTGGTCAAGGACTTCTGATCAGGTGGTCAAGGTGGAAGATTTGGTTTAAAGGCCCGTTACCAGTTCAACAATATATATATATATATTATATATATATGTATTATATATGTATATATATATACATGTATACTATATATCATATTATATATATACGTATTATATATATGTTATATTATACACATATATATATATTATACATTATACATATATTATATATATATATTATGTTATATATATATTATATACAATATGTATATTATATATAATACGTATATTATATATAATAGGTATATTATATATAATATGTATATTATATATAATATGTATATTATATATAATATGTATATTTATATAATATGTATATTATATATAATATGTATATTATATATAATATGTATATTATATGTAATATGTATATTAAATACAATATGTGTATTTTATAATATGTATATCAAATATAATATGTGTATTAAATAAAATGTGTATATTATATATAATATGTATATTATATATAATATGTATATTATATATAATATGTATATTTACATACGTATGTATATATATATACATATACATACATATTAATTAATGTATACATAGAATAAGCATAGATAGTTGATAAATGAAAAGAAACATTGGCAGATCAACCTTTTATGTTAACTTGTTATTTCAACATAAATTCGGGCAAAGGGCTTCTGAAATTACAAATTCCAATCAATGCATTGGGATCCCTTCGCGTCTTGCCCGTATGACTAGCTCATAACAACCTTGACTGAGGCGGAGACGGGTCCATCCGTACTGTCCTTGTGGATAACAAAAGAACGATGTTTCTACCCTCTGGTGATCTTATAGCAATGGAAGGCTCCCTGTTTATCCGCATACAGTGGGTATCATCCCATAATTGCTAGTTATAAGCCCATAAAATATACCGGTGTTTGTTGGTGGCATATCATCATTTGTCGGGGCCCACAGTTTTTCAAAATGCGTGCTGTTTCAATCCCAAGGTTGATGTGGGGAAAAAAAAACATGTCAAAAGGATGTTTACCTTTGGTAATTTAACATGGCTATTGAAAATCACCATGTTTTCTAATAGGTAAACCATCTATTTTAACAGTTTGCCATGGAAAGATCCAGCATGTTTGGTAAATCATCTATACCCTCTGGTAATTTAACGTAGCTATTGAAAATGGCCATAGAAATAGTGGATTTACCCATGAAAAATGGTGATTTTCTATAGCTACGTTAGTTTACCAGAGGGTAAATGGCTCATGTTGACATAACGCAAAGTGTTGACATAACCAGCTTGGCTTCCCCATTTTCGGATCCCAGACCTCAGATGGTTTTCGCCATCAGCCGCGGATGGAGTTTTTCGAATCTAATCCTGATAGTTTTCTTATATAATATGATAATTATAAGATTCTATGATAGTCCATGATGAATTATTATAAACCTGATAGTTATATATCATAATAATCCTGATAATTAAAACATAATCTTATATATCTTATGATATAATCTTATATGGGTTTGTCTGAAAATAGTGTACCCCTAAACCCAATGGTTTTGCTGATCATTATCCCTATTAAATGGCTATAATTGGGAATATACCCTATTTTCAGACAAACCCATATATCTATGAATAAAATCTTTGTTATAAGATTCTGTTAAGATGATTCTGATAAGATTCTGATAAGATGTTTTTGTTAGCCTAAGCTGCTGAAAATCTAAGGGACTTTCCACGTTATCCAAGTGTTCATGTGATAATGTTCACCAAAATTTGTGAAACCGGACCGGTTCATATTATCTCTATGTTCTCAAAAACAAACACTGCAAACTCGGTCGGAATCCATGTGGCGCCACAAAAATTACATACAAATCACGGTTTAGATCAGGGTTTTCATGGGTTTTCATGGCACCAAATTTGTTTGACGACTTGCTGTCGTGGTTCGCTGTTGCTGTTATCGTTGCATCTTTCAGCTGCGCGGGTGCAAGGAGTCTCACCGTCAAATTTAAGTGCATGTTCCTCCCAAAAAAAAAGTGGATTTCCAAAAATGAGGATGTTCCATGTGTGTTTATGTGTATTTACTGGGTAACTGGAAGATTCATGTTCCAGTTACGCCATTTCTCCTCGCAAGTTCTGTAGACGACCATGCCTGGTTGAATCCCCTTCTGCGTTTTTCAACTCCAGGTCTGGTGCCATATCCCCAGGGCTTAGATGTCAGCCACTGTCTTTTTGTGTTTCTTTTTCAAGTTTGGTGACTCAAACATAAGCTATTTGGCTGGGAGTCAAAAGTACCCAAACAAAAACTCCCTGAATTTTCACAGCTATTTATGGATGGTTATTCCATGTTCTTCCGTAAATATGTGTGGCATTATTAGGCAGTAATCGCTAGCCTTCCCCATCTGGTTGATATTCCCCATCTGGTTCCCTCAGGCCCATCCCAGGCAGCGCGGCGCTTTCATGGTTTTTTCATGGACACGGGTCGCCGGGGCTGGCACTTGAGGCCAGTTATGGAGATGTTGGTCAGCAATTTACTGTATCATACAATATCCATGAGATTTCAGTGTGCATACTACGACCTTTGATGATCAATTGAATCAATTGTGAATGAATCACTAAGTATTGAATGATCGTGAATGTCTACGATAAATTATGAATGGATAACAATGAATATAATTACGAAAATCTAGTGTCCAGTCTATTATGAAGTATCTCATGACGATTATCTCACAAGATTGGGCATGACGGAAACCCAAAGATAAACCATTCGCAAATTCTCGGTGTATGAAATCGGGTATACCACGGCAGTCCTGCGATAAATGTGAAATGACCACTACTCATGGTTGGTTTCAGGATTCTTTAATGGCATGGGCTTTACCACATGCGTTTGCATCCCTTGCCTTGAGTTGACCAAGATTGGTTTTCTATTCAGAAGTTAAGTCCAGGACTACTTCTTATTAGCATCCCAATCGTTGGCAGTTCACCTCGAAAAATAACAAGCCCGGAAATGGAAAAAGTCGCTGCCTGCATTGTTTATACATGTGGGGATTTCCTAAAATGGTGGATCCCCAAGTCGTCATGGTTGTTTCAATATTAAGTCATACTCGTCCATGACTGGATGATGATTTTTGGGCTACCCCTAGCCATATAGGTAGATGTGGATTAAAAATGATTAAAATATATGGGGTTCCTAAGTCATAGGGCTACCCCAGTCATCCAAGTCATGGATGACCATGGTGACGACTGGGGAAAGCTCAGCAAGGCGCCCAAGTTTCCAATTCATGGCCGATCTGGGAGACTACGCACAAAATAAGTCTGTTATCTGATAAGGAAAAAGTTTGTTGTGGGTTAAAGACTAACAAACATTTAATTGACTAAGAAAAGAACAACTGATTTGCTATTCGTAGCAAGAAACTGTTCTTGGCCAAAAACGTGCACATGATGATGGTTAAGCCCATACGGTTGACTCATAACCTCCCTGTTTCAACGAGGCTCCTGGTTCTATCTTCAGAGTGTCAAGCCCAGATGGATAGGTAAATCCTGGTTGATTCATTCGGGGGTTTATTATTGGCATCCCCCGAATAGTTATAATCTGCTACCAAAATGGTACCCTCTGGTAAACATACAAAAAACGATGGAAAATCACCATTTTTAATGGGAAAATCCACTATTTCTATGGCCATGTTCAATAGCTATTTTGACATAACCAAAATGGTACCCCCTTTTTTCCACTGCCCAGGAGTTTACTTATCAATCCAGGGTCAAAACGAGTACCTAAAAATAGATATCACCCAGGCTTCTGATTGTCACCACTCCAAAACAAGCACGACTTTGAAATATGAAAAAAAAACAAGTGCTGTAAATCACTCCCATCAACATCCATCAACTGCAAAAACTCACTATACCTCAGTTGAATCGCCAACCCCATCGCGGTAGATTTCATGCGAGCGCCGGCCACGGATTTCAGGCCAGCTTCGCGTCATAATCCACGTGGTCATCTCCACTGCACAAGGTGTAGTTCTTATGGCAGGTGAAGAAAGGGCTGTACCATGTTTCTTGGGATATAAGATGAATTGAGATGATATAAGGCCAAAAAGAATACCCCCGTGGTCTTGTTGTATAAACCCAAAAAAAAACTGACATATACAGTATCCACTTAGTTCACTGGAACTCTTCCAAGTAGGTCTGATGGTTTGAATATGTTTGAATGTGAATCGACATCCAAAAAACTCCATTGGTTATCCAAAATGTGGGTGTATCCCACATTTTTTTCGTTTGCTCCCCACTTTTCTTGGTAAATCCTCTGTTTTTCGTTGCTTTTGACTTATACCTTCATTCTTGTGCGGGATTTGACACCACTAGCAAGTCATATTTCCAGTATACTTGGATGATGTTGGTATGTTCTCATGTTTATTGGTTAGCTGTCCCCCAACTTTGCTGGATATTTGAAACCACACATCCAATGAGCAATAAACAGAACTGACCCGATCCCATTTTAAAGGTCCATATCATATGTATTCCAAGCAGGGGTTGGGTATATATTAATATATATATATTATAGTTAGTGTGTATATATATGTGTATATATATATATTTGTGTATATATATATATATTATATATGTTAGTATACAGTATCATACAGTTATGAATATCAGCCAACCATGCTCTTCTGGTGTCGTTTATCGATTTTTGTGGCGTGGAACCACATGGTCTTGCTGCGGGTGCATCTCGCAATCACCACCTGGCCGGATAGAGGGGGCTAGGATTCTTCAAAGCAAATGGGCATGGCTTGAAGCTTATGCCCTCTGGTCATCTAACAAAAGCGATGGAACATCACCAAGTTGACTGGAAAAATACAATCTATAAAGGGGCAATTCTTTACCATAGCGAACTGTTAATTACTGGAGGCTTTAGGACTTTAGGATGCCATTTTGTTGGGGATGACCATCCACGGGGCTGTGAAAAATTGGGGGGGATATCATTTTTTGGGAGTCAATCAGCCACGGATTTTAGGGGAAAGCCTGTATTTTTTTCTCAACTAAGCTTAATTGATCAACGAGGATGTTTGAGTAAGAATCATTTCACCAACCTGGGGATGATTCCCCCAATCCTAATTACCATTGTGGTGACGTGACGACGTGAGATTTATGTGTAATAATGATGATAATGACAACACGAAGAATAAGAAAACGAATGTGCTAGTAATGACAAGGCAATTACATTGAGACAATATTGAATTAGAATAACGAGCGTTGTTTAAATGTGTCTCAAGCGTAGCTGTCCGAATGTTTGCGAACCTGAATCGCAATAATAATAGAAGGAATAATGGTATGGTAAAAACATGTATATAACTGTGATTAATTAGAATCATTAAAAATGAAGGTTCACAAACTCTAAAGGTTCACCATGCTTGCCCAAATGTAAGCCATTCAAGGTGAGATCTCATCTCCCGAAAGATGTTTTAAAAACAGCAGCTAGGATATACCATCTGGTTCTGACTAACACTTTGCTAGAAAATCCAGCCATTTCTAATAGGTAAACCTCTAGGTAAACCTCTATTTCACTCGACATCGATTAGGGCCTTATTAAAATCCCACTGTTGGCTCGCCCTGTTAGCCATAGCCAGACGGGATATCGTGGGATCATAACCATAAACCCCTTCTGGTGGTTGCTGGTGGTTAAGATTCCCTCTTAAACCCAAAGACTTTAGAGTGTATCCCACATCATCAATTCCATCAAAAAAAACTCCAGTTTCGGGCAGTCCGTACTACCACCCCAACGTCACAAGTTTCCAGTCCACCCTTCACCCCACATCGCACGATGTGATCCCCATCGAGTTGACCCCCATGAACCCATGAACCCATGAACCCATGCTGGGTCGCCGCGCAACGGTCATGCAGTTTTGATTGCTTTCCGGTCATGGAGGTCCTCCGCAAAAAACGCCGGCGGTAGAAGGGTCCTCCTAAACACTCCAAGAGGCTCTAAGTTCTATACAAATATGGTTTGAAAAAAGAAAACACGTAGCTTTAAAAGTCAAAATCTGACTCAACCAGCCAAAATCCTGAAAGCAATGAGTTAATTATCAATGAAGACGTCCATAAATCGCCCATATTCTCCAGTAACAATGAGGATGCACATCAGAGACGAACACCCAGAACCTCAGGGATGTTGGGTGCCCAAGAAAAAACATCAAGCAGCTCTAGTTTGCTGCAAACGTCCCGACATTGCGGATCCATTTCCAGCCATTCCTTGCTGACTGGAAGAAAGCGTGGGGGCCATCTTGAGTCAACTTCCCGAACCCATAAAAAGATACAAAAAAAATTGAGGTGTCAGGAAGCACCGGACTCTAGGAATTATCACACTGGTCATTCCACACCACAAGGACTCCATTATACCATATTATACCGGCGATGTAGCTACATTTCACTACATTTCATCCAAAACCGCTGGTACAGGTACCCAAAGAATTTTTGTTACAGCCTCGAAATCTGCTTCCTTGGAAACTCCAAGGAGTAGACCTATTTTGTACAGACCTCCCCTGGAGGATGTCCCAATTTTGCATGGATCATAGTTGCTACAAATGAACAGGGATCAAAATCCGTGACCCCTAAAAATAGATGGTTGATAGATTTGTTATTAGTAAATGAAAACCAAAATCTGCAGTCCGGTCCAAAATTTTGACCCATGAGCCTACTTTCAGACAAACCCAGATCCATAAAAATAGGGTATATCATGGTATATCCCAATAATGGTCAAACAAACTCGCATTTTTTTTACTCCCGGTAAATGCCCATTTTTTCACAAACGAGGTGCCAACATGTCCCAATCATTTCCCCTGTCCACACTCCCTAAAGCCCTATAGCTCCACCTGCAATGTCGCCCAGCGATGTTCTCTCAAAGCGGTTTGCCTTGGATCCCAAATATCCCAAGAAAAGATATGGAAAAATCCGGGTGCTTTTTTTGATGCTAAATTTTGGATGTTCAACATGCTTCAGCAATGACGTTGGGCCAGAAAATAGGCATTTTTCATCATGCTTTTTACCGCAGCGAAATGAGATTTTCACCCAACAGCTGTGGCTCACTTTGTCTCCTGGGGCACACTAAAGTCTTGGTGCGACAGAAACAGCCAGTTCTCCCGACGGTGTCCATGACTTGCTGCTCGACACCGGACACCCCAAAAATCCGTCGCATGTTTGGAGGTATCATGGAAAATTAGATGCAGGAAATACCCTCTGGTAATTTAACGTAGCTATTGAAAATGACCCAGTCGAAATAGTGGATTTTCCCAGCTATAAAATGGTGGATCTTTCAATAGCTATGTAACAAATTACCAGAGGGTAGGTGGTATCACGTCACTGATCCCATCGCGACGTCAAGCTGAGATCCGAGCTCCTCCAGCTCGTCATACATCTCTTTGTGATTGGCTGAACCTGACGGTTGAGACCAATAGGATCGGAAAGAAAAGTATACCCTCTGGTAAACAGCCACATAACTATTGAAAATCACCATTATTTAATGGGACAACTCACTATAAATGGCCATTTTCAATAGCTATGTTAGTTTACCAGAGGGTACTTGAAACCACCAGTGATTTCCACCAGTTGGCATTGGGCTGACATGGTAACTGCAACACATTCCGGTGTTTCACCCTCCAAACGAAGTGCGGCATTGGTCAGCAACTTGCACAGAACTCATGAGTCGAACGGTCGAAGCCAAATCCACTGGACTGGATCTCTGGACCTAACTTTTTTCAACACGGGGACTGACCATCCATTTTAAGGAGCTCATTTGGGGTGTTTTGTTATCCACAAACCGGGGTCACAACCTGTCCACAACCTCTCCAGAAAAATTCACATTGGCTTGTAGGTCATCCCACTACGACAGGGACTCAACAGTCCCCTCGAAATACGCACCAGACGAAACGAGTCAATGCATTGAGACAACCTGCCATAGTCATAGGAGTTGTATTCTAACTTATGGAGGCTATTAACATGTTGATACATCCCAACCTACCTGATCTACCCACCACATCTTCTTATAAGGTCACCAGAATTTAGCCAGATCTATGTTCAGTGGTGCCCCAGTGAGCAATTCATCACAAAGTTTGTTTTAAAAAAAAACACCAACAACTGTTGGGTTTATGGTAGACATATCAAAAAAGTCTAGCATGAAGTTCTTTTTAGTGGGGTAACATTAAAATAAGCAACAAACACAAGTGGCAAAACGACCAGTGCCACCGGAGAGCATTCATCAAACAGCTGTGGGTCGGCTTCCATCAGCCTCATGGAGGATCATGGGGATGGGGGGATAGCCACTGGTGATAGTTTGGAACAAAAATGGGGTCTGAACCATAATTAGTTGGGATATTAGTTGGGATATCATGAGGATTGATGTTCGATGATCAATGATGATCTATGGATTGGTGTTATTAGGAAAATTGACAGTTCAAACACCATGGTGCTTGCGCCCACGTATGGAAGTTCACAGTTTCACTTTTCCCATCCAATTCTGGAAGGGTATAATCAATGGGTTCAGCGGGTGGATCCTTAAACGGATATTGCAGTAAGCGACTACTTGGGGGCGCGTCCCAAGAATCGAAAGTGGGTACTAACCATATGGCAGTGTGTCAAAACCTTGTACCCCTTCTGTTCACATCAAAATAGCTGGTAAATGGATGTTCATCCCCCTAAAAATGGTATTAATAGGTATTGATCCATAGCCATATGAAATAGTCCCATTACATATGCTATGTGCCCAGTTGTGTTAGAAGCCACTCACTGGGCATGCACATCTCAGCATCTATTGGTGGTCTTAACCGTGTTTCCCAAAAATCGAAACGAAGCATTTACCGTTGTCAAAGGGGAGCAACCATGGGTGACACAACCAACATCAACCAACATCAACCAACTAGTGCATCTATGGACATCTATGGTTGACTTAAAACTTGCTGTTTGACTAATATCCATCTGCACATTCCGACATCAAGGACTCCAATCATTCCTTTACGATGTTGACCACAGCCTTCACCGCGTTCGAAACGTCCACCATCCATCATCCGACCATCAAATTTCTCCAGCGATCCCACAGGGCCATGCGAAAGCCACTGGGGTCACTGCAATTTCAGAACGTTGAAGGTCAAGCCATGAACTGCACCTCGACATCGCAGACAGCCATGACTCGCCATGATGCAAAAAGGGCGATGTTTCATGGAGACAACACAAGAACTCCGGATTCAACAAAGCAAAATGGCTAGTGCTTGGTGGTTTCAACCAACCCCTCTGAAAAATGATGGAGTTTTCGTCAGTTGGGATTATGACATTCCCGCAATATATGGAAAGTCATTCAAAAGCCATGTTCCAGTCACCACCAACAAATGGCTAGTTTGACCTTTGACCAACTCGCTGAAAACACAAAAAGGTCACCATTGTCCGTCGCGATCTGATTTTTTTCTTCAATATCAACCACCCAATCGCCAGGTAGAACAGCCACATGTTTGCTGCAAAAAATTGGGATTTGGCGTTGCAAAAAAAAAATACCAACGGGTTTTCCCCAACTCGACCACGGAATTCCTCGGAAATTTTCTGTCACCCAGGTACTACTCCAGTGAAGCTTGGAGTTGGTGTACAAGGCTCCAATGATGGCGGGGAAAAGAACCTCGCTGTTTTAGCGGGGCAGCTGGGGGAGCTCCAAGGCTGGTCATTGAGCCCCCAATTTGGGAGACACAAAAGCTCTGGGGTTGGGGGGAGTGCCTTATCCCTTTGGTGGTCCAAAAGTGATTCAATAGAAGAGTAAAGTAATAAAATTCCTTAAAATTCTTTCAAAATCCTTAAAATTCCTTTAAATTTCTTGAAATTCCTTACAATTCCTTTAAATACCCTAAAATACCCTAAAATACTAAAATACCGTAAAATACCCTTAAATTCTCTTTAAAATTCCTTAAAACTCCCTAAACTTCCTTAAGATTCCTTAAAATTCCGGCATTGCGGCCCTGCTCACCATCCCCAGTGGGCTTACCCGACATGGATTGTGAAGCCCATAGGCTGCCAAAACTGAGAAGCCCATAGGCGGCCAAGATGTGTTTTTTTTCCAGTAATGAGGCTGCAAATAAGCCCTGTTAATGGGATGCCAACAATAAAGCATCTGTTAATGAAGTTTGAGATTACCCCGAAATCCAATGCGTCAAAACCTCATTTGGAAATTACATTATCTTGAGATAAATGACCATGCCCCCATTTTTGGGAGAAATGTCTTAATCATGTGTTTTTCACTCGGTTTCTATCTATCTATCTATCTATCTATCTATCTATATATATATATATATCCAGCAGATTCTAGCAGCCCCCCAGCTCTCTTTATAGCCCGCCTTGCGACTGGAGGTGATCAAACGGACGATGTAGTCGTTGTTCCAGAGGAACAACGTTCGTTCCGCCACCTCCCCGGTGGTGGTTGTCTGTGAATCCGATGGTCAGATGATCCGAAACAAAAACCTACAAGTAAGACATCATGAACTATGTGAGAGTATAAGATGATAGTAGCAATATTAGATAAGTAGAGGAGAGTAATCATGATAGTATAATCATGTATAATCATCATCCCAAATGTACAAATACCATGGACAATGATGAGAACAGGACACCCATGATCCCGTAGGCCTGGAAATGAGGACACATGATGCACTGCGCTATTCGCTGGATCAACGGCTCCTGCCGCGAAAATCGCTGGTTGTCACCAGAAATATGGCGAATTGATGTGGGACCCAAGGCCCAGAAACCCACCATTGGGGATGATATTTACCAGCCATTTATGGTGATATTCAGGAATGGATTATTGAATATTATAGAGTTGACCACATCAAACCATAGCTCTTTGACCTCTTTACCATTTTTGGGCGGTGTTTTAAATTGATAGACCTCCACATGTCAAGGGAGTTCTTGGCGGCCCACAACCACATCATCCAATCACAATTCGTGCCATGATGACTGGAGCATAAGAACGAATAAGCCGCAAAATAACATCATATGGGGATGGGTCAAAACCTTTGTACCCCTAGTGAACCCCAAAATAGCTGGTAAATGGATGTTCATCCCACTAAAAATGAATCTATAGGTATTGACCCATACCCATATGGAGGTTTCCTAAGTCATAGGGGCACCCCTAAATTTCATGCATTTTTTCATAGGATTTTCCATGAAATAAACCATCCAGCGAGCTTGGGGTATCCCCATGACTATGTTTTAACCCCCATATGGATACACAATTGTGTACCTCTGATATTGGATATCATGTTCAATCAGATCTTCCCACTGAGAATCTGACACACCAAGACACAAACCCATCATGAGTTCCACCAATGTCCATATATCTTTGAATCCCTCAAGGATATCGTCAAAACTGTGTCCGGAGATTTTTCAGTGTCCCGTGAATACCTTCTTCGGGATGAAAGAAAAATCAATCCTTGGCCTCAGGTTGTTCCCACAATCTTGCGCCAGTTGAAAGCTATTTGAATCTCATCCCTTTCGAACCATTGATACCGTATTGATACCCTCCAACCAGACATGACTCAGTGACCGCTAAAAGGACCATTTTCCTCAATGGCCGATTCTCCACAGCCCCATCCCACCCTTAGAAGTTGTCGTTATCGGCTCCTGCATCTGAACAAACTCCGGAGGCTTCGTTAGCTCCAAAAGTTCTTCCAACTCGTTTAGAAACAGCACCTGCGGCTCCCGTGGGTCTCCCGAAAATGTCCCGACGCCAGCGCCCAGTCGTGGGACACTTGTCGATGGCGCCCAGATGGCGCCAAGTCGTGGGACTCATTTTTCGTGTTTTCAGTTGGGTCTAAGATGGTCTAAAACCAGCCCTGGGCGTTTCCGATTTCTGGGCACACCCAATAATTGGATATTTTTGGTCGACCGGGTTTTTTAGGTATCCCACTGGTCTTCAGATTTGTGTCAGTTAAAAATCCCACAGGTGTGTTGCCTTACTCCCTTCTAAACAAACATGGCTGGAAAATCCTTTATCTGTGGATGATATCCTTGCTGAACGAAAAAAAAGCCTATCCCATTGCCAATGTTTGCCGGAGGTACTATCCCATGTTCATTCGGATCCCGAACATTGCTGCATTACATACTTCCTTTGGCCGATAGCCGATCTCCTCGTAGTGATTTTTGGTATGCTGGGTCATAGCGAAAAAAACCAATGGTTGATCTAGTCACTTCAAGAGATCATGGATTTTGGGCCATGGTTTTCGGCCAGTAACCCCGTGAGAATCCTGTTTTCTGGAGGGACTCTTAGCCTGTCTGGATCATTGATCATAAATCTCAATGCTGATTCAATCCGAGGTGTCAATCTCAATCTGCTTTACACCCAAAAACATCATCTATGGTTGAAATGTCAAGTGAGGTCACATTTCAACTCACATTTCAACCTTGTCTGGACGTCTACCCACCAATGGGAGTAGCTCAAGGCCTGCTTGGAGGTAATGGTGGTGGGCCAATACCGCAGCATGGCCGAAACGATCACCAACCTGGGCACCATCTGGCGAAATGACCAACCATTCGATGAAAATGTTGACCCACGGAAAACGATCATAACCATCTATTGTATAAAGGTGTATATAGTGCATGCATATATGTATAGATACCCGACATCATATGTATACAGTATGTTGTATGTACATGATATCATATATATATAGCATGGCTTGGCTCGATTTATGGTGAAAATTGTAGGAAGTTCATGGTTCCACAATGTGACTAGTCATTCTTGAGTCTTCAACCATCCACTCTGGAGCTAGCTAACTGATCTGCTTGGGCCACGAGTTGATCTTCGCTCCATCAACTTTTGGCGTCCAACATGTTTCCATCTTTTTCAAATCGATTGTTCCTTGGTTTATAGCACCATGGCGGTTTCAAACCGATGTTTCTTGATGTTTCAAACGGCTAAGACTTTCCATGCTGGAGAAGACTTTCCATATCTTTCCGTCTTGTGAAGCCTCGAACTGGACATCCTCTGGCCCTTTGGCCCCTGGGAAAATGTGGCATGGCGGCATGGTCAAGTTGGGAATGGTGCCCAACTTATCATCCCACTGGAACCATGGGATTCTGGGATTCCCAACGCCAAGCGTGGGTCCTTCGTCACATATTGCCTGGCGAAAGCCATGGGAAAATTTGTTTTTCCCAACCTGGCCTCGGATACAAATGGAATGTAATGTTGAGCTTCCCTCTTTGAAAGGTTTATAACAACCATAACAACCCCAAAACCCTAAGACTCTGCGGCTTTCAGAATCTGTCTTTGTTGCAATTCAATCTCGGAGGAAAGGGTAGCATTTCACATCGATTGACCCAAATAGTTGCCGGGAAGCGTCGGTGAAAAAAATTGATCCTATTGGGTGAAGCAAAAATCAAACAGATTTTCAAGATTTTTCTATAGAGCACTTGATATAGATATCCTGTATGCATATCACCTTCGCGGTCGACAGAAATTTTCGCAAATGGTGATGGAAAAAAAAACGCCAAAACCCTATGGTAAATCAATAGACTCTCTGCAGTTTTTGATGGGAGGCTATGGGTCAAAAAAAACACCAACAAAAACATCTGGGAAGACAGGTGGACACATTTTCAGAGACATCAACCAACATTTTTTTGTGGACTTGGAAACAACCAACTGCGTTGCCTGTGGAAATTGAGGAAACAACCAACCAAAGTTTGAAAAACTGGACAATCCCGTTTTGTTGGAATCAAAATCGAAAAAGGATGAAAAGTTGGGACATCCAACCATTGGAGTTTTCCACCAGTCGACTTCAGGAGTTTTCCACCAAATCGTCCGAGTCCACCGAGTCCTCCGGAACTGGGGCCATCCGACGACATACAGTAGGACAGCTGTTGATGGAAGCCCGCCAAGAATTTCAACTTGTGCAGCGGTATCAATGCCTCAAGGTTTCTGGGATCCCATAGAATCATGTGGATTTCCTGATTTCACCATGAGATTTCTTGGAGATGCATCCCGAAAAAAACTCAGAATCCCAGGTTCATTTCCTGATTTTGGGGGGCTCAAATTTTGGTCAAATTTTCGCGCCCTACGCCTTTCCTTTGGAAAATCAGAAGTTGATCATTCCAGCTGAAAAAAAAATGCTGATTATCAGATTGTTCAAGGAGAAATTGAAATGAGCAACAAATCCTGTGTCAATGGAATCGACAAAATGCAAGTTGATCGAGTTGATCATTCCATCTGAAAAACGAGTCTTCTGCGCTCAACTTGCTGTCCTGTTGAAACTTGCTATCCCAGCCCATTTTGCTGGTTGATGAATGGGTACCTGCTATTATACAACACACGAGGTATAGCATATAAATATGGGGTTGTAATTTGGTTGGGTAATATCTAGATACACATGGGTACACCATATATTATCATGTCATTCAATAAATAAATCATATATATATATTAAACATATATTCAGATTCATATTTATGGGTTGTTGTTACATCGGGTAGTTTTTCACCCGCGAAAATCATTTTTCCAACATCTTCCCAGCTTCCCAGCACTGGCCCACTGAGTTGCCCCACCCTCACCAAGAAGTCCTGGCACCACATCACCAATAGGGATACCCAATAGCTGGATGGTTTCTTTCATGGAAAATACCATCTATAAATGGATGAGAACTGGGGTTATCCCTATGACTTGTTGGAAACCTCCATTTGTGTGAAAATATCTTCTTCTTCTTCTTCTTTTTTTTACTTCTTTTCCTCAGCATTCATGATCCGTCATCATCAGCTCCAAAAACCCACATGGTTTCATGGATTCATCTGGTTTCACTTGGTCCATGTTCAACCCCAAGACTAGGATTTACATCGCTCATGTCTATAAATAGAATTTCCCAAAAATGTCGAACCTATCGCCGGTTCCATGGATTCAGTTTATGATCTATTGGTAAATTGGATCATAAATCCCACCTAGTAAGTCTCAGTTTCGTGGGATCTCCCATATAACTGGGTTATAAGTTGTCACTATGGTTACTAACCAGATACGAAAAATCTGAGATTTCTCTGAAGATTATCCCCAAAAATCCCACAAAAAAAACCCATCAATATCCCACTAATATCCTATCAAATCATCATTAAATCACCATTCTTCATGGTCAAACAATGTAAATCACCATTTTTTTCCATTTCTTCATGCAATTTCATGGGATATTTGACATGAATTTTGCTGATATTCAATGGGAATCATCATTAATATCGCATTAGTGACACATGGAACCATGGAACAATCCGTCCTTGTGCTCTTCCTTCAGCGGAAGCGCAAAGCCATTGATGATGCTCCCCATGATCTCTAGCAGCTCGCCTCGATCGACATCTGAAAGACCGATCCAGAAAATCTTGAAAAACTATTTTGATATGGTCATGAAATGAATATTATTCCCATGAATCATGAATGATTCTGGTCATTTGTCCGATTATTTCGAATGAATCAAGCCAATGATTCAGTTTTTTGAGGTATCTGTGGGTAGTCAGTAGTCAAGATTTGTTTGAAGTGCCTGTCAGGTTCATTGCATTATGGGGCAATTTTCCAGCTGATAACCGCATTTTTAGGGTGAGGGGATCGGAGATTGAGATATATTGAACAGATATCATCAAAATTACTATAGAAATATCAAGTTATCCGCTGACAATTGGGATTCTAATATGATAGTATGCATTCTAATCAAAAAATATCAAGATCAGCAGGTTCATCAAGCAGTAGTCATATGGGCAACAGTTAATCCAACCCTCTGAGGTGGCAACCCACGCCATTGTAGGCGTCGCTTTCATACATCACCTGGAAAGCTTGGGAAACTGAGCAAGGTGTGGATGCGTCTATCATTATTCTTACCATTCGCATGATAACATCGTTATTAGTGGTATTACTATCATCACTATTAATAGCTGTATCATTACGCTTTGTGGTTATGTGTATATATGTAAATTAAACATATGGAATATTTTATATTGCCATTCAGGATGCTACGTGCATAGATAGATGATATTACATGATATCCTTGCTATTGCCATTCTAATTAGATTACATTAGATTAGATTAGATAGATAGATAGATGGATGGATGGATAGATAGATAGATAGACGGATAGACGGATAGATCGATAGATCGATAGATAGATAGACAGACAGACAGATAGATAGATAGATAGGTAGATAGACACAGACAGACAGATAGATAGATAGATTAGATTAGGTAAGATTAGATAAGATTAGATCAGATTAGATTAGATTTGATAAGATAAGATTAGATAAGATTAGATCAGATTAGATCAGATTAGATCAGATTAGATCAGATTAGATCAGATTAGATCAGATTAGATCAGATTAGATCAGATTGGATCAGATTAGATCAGATTAGATCAGAATAGATCAGATTAGATCAGATTAGACCAGATTAGGTCAGATTCGATCAGATTAGATCAGACTAGATCAGATTAGAACAGATTAGATCAGATTTGATCAGATTAGCTTAGATAAGATTAGATAAGATAAGATTAGAAAATTTAAGATAGGATAAGATAAGATTAGATTAGATTGGATTAAGATCAGATAAGATAAGCTAAGATAAGATAGGTAGATAGATTAGATTAGATTAGATTAGATTAGATTAGATTAGATTAGCTTAGATAGATAGATAGATAGGTAGATAGGTAGATAGGTAGATAGGTAGATAGGTAGATAGATAGATAGATAGATAGATTAGATAGATATGTTTCAAAATACACAGAGGCGAATTCAGAATTGCGACCATGATTCGCAAATTTGAAAGGCTCAGCATGTTTAAGACAAGTCCCTTAGCCATCATTTCTTGAGGTTGGTCAAACCAAAGTTGCGATCGATGCCAGGCCATATGCTGAAATTTTGTGAGTCTCTGAGTGTTCCTCCAAATTGCAATCTCCCAACTTGGGGCATCACAGGAAACCTAAGTGCTCAAGAACCATCGTATAACCCAATTATGTATTGGCTACATGTGGGTTTTAGGTAGGTTGTAAACCACTTGCAACTCCTGGGATGCACTCCAACAAACCCTTGAGTACACTCGGGAGTGTGGCGCGACACTGCTGGATAACATGATATTTTTTCGGATATGGCCAAGGGAACGTATAGTGTGATCAACGATCAATATAATAGCAACCTGAGAGCCTGAAAACAAAAATAGAAAAGTATGTTTTCACTATTTTCATAGGATTCTATAAATTCTATGTATTTCTATCTTTTTGTGGGTTGCTAGCCTCGAAACCCTTTGATGTTGTAGAAAAACCTCCAAAGTCACTCACCGATCTCATGATCTCGGGCCTTGTAGAAGGTCTGTTGGATCGCACGGCGAATGAAGGAGCGTAAGGTCATGAACTTTCCATAGATCCGATGGAGGATGGTCTTCACATAATCCTGTGAGATCTGTCGAATCTTGGCTTTTAAATTAGCACAAACACAACCGGGATATCTTGGGATATCTCCCACTAACCATGTATTGAATTCAGGGACATGGTATTATCGGAGGCTGTTGTCTGCTGTACCGTCTGATGATTTCGGTCAGAGAAACAGATCCACACAAGAAATCCTTCCTGGATCAATCAGTTTCTTGGGAAAACCTGATCTGATTAGTGAATTTTACCCATCCTAAAAATATGTTCGTCAGAGGGGAACATCATCCCATTTCGTCTATGGTAGATTTGTTTGAAAATCATGAAACAACCCGTCAATGATGAGATGGGTATGCGGAAAAACACACTAGCCCGGGGACTCTCAAAATGCTGTTGAAAGCGTTTCTCGACGAAACTGGAAGAAACTGGTGAGAAGGCGATGAAGCAATGCCAAACATCTAGCTGAAACAAACATGGAAGCGCGAAACCCTCACATTTACCAACAAAACATCTGTCAAAACTCGCAAAATGGGTTCATCTGTCCACTTTCCACCGTTGTTTCAGGAGGTAGGTAAACTCCACCCACCCAACTTCAGAGCCAGTCCCGTTCACGCGGATCATCTGAGTCAAAGAGTTCCATCCTCAAATCGGTTTCCAACCGGGAGTTCCCAGGCTGTCATCAGCCATAGCCATAACAAGATGAGTTTGGGTGGAAATGGGAATGTTGGATAGGATATCTCTGGGATATTTTACACAAGAACACGGATGTTTTCAGAGAAAATTGAGATGTTTAGCAACAAATTTGCATGTATATTGCATGTTGTTTATCAAAAGTGAGCCTGGTGCCTGGTGACACGCTAAAGGGTGCAATTCATGCCTACATATGCGCATTACCCTTGTATGGAAACAGTTTTCAAGAATCATGCCTTCGCGCCTCTCCAGTATGGGTATCCAAGAAACTGGTCTGACTGGACAGCAACTAAGGGCAGTTTCACCAACACAGATTGTTCCCTCGTTTGTTTTTCGACAATCACACCAGTCCCAACAGTCGGCTCTTGTATGAAACTACACCGGTAGTGAGACAATCCGATCTTCAATTTGTTCTATAAATCAATTTAAAAAAATCAATTTCCCAAACAGTTTGAACCAGGAAAACTGCGTTTGGGGCAATGAACCTTCATCTTTGGACTTTTAATCGGGTGGATATCACCCCTGGAGTATCCCTGTGTTTCTGCGCAAATTGCAATCCTTCACCACTTGAAATTAGGTGTGGCAACTCTTATTTTTGGGTTAAAGGCCAAGTTTTGCAATGTGCACCCCCATTTTTGCTAAAATGAAAACCACGTGTTTTGGTAACACGTTCTTTTTGGAAGCATCCGTATCTTGGCTGAATTTCCGATTCTTGATGTTGTTTCACTCCCCATGTTTGTTGAAAAAAAAACGTTAGTTTTATCAACAATTTTCACCATGGTGAAACACCCATTTGCACTGGTTTCATTTCACCCCCCCGGCCCGAATTGGATTAAAGCAACCTTTTTTCCATAGTTTTTCCCGGTGGAATCATCCAAAAGCATTGAGATGACCTTGGCAGCCTGACATCTGTGCCACGAAGTCTGCGTTCAAAGAGGCCTTCGCCACCTCACCGTCCGGAAACTGGGTTGTTTGTCCATGAAGAATGAGGGTTTGATGGGATACAAAATGGAAAAAATGTAATTAAGGTAACCAGCAATATCCAGCTATATCTATTTTACGATAAAGTATAGAAGTTGCACCAGGGTTTGCCAAAAAGTGACCCTATGACTTTTGGGGATGCTGGGTTGCTACCACCTCCCGTCCAACCACCGCCCCCAACAACAGTAGCCGACCCCCCCCCCTCCAACCGCAATAGCTTACCCCCCCGTTGGCAAAATTTTCTGATACACCACTAGAGGCTGAGGCCCGGCCAGGAACTTCCACTGGAGAAAGACATCAAAAAGTGCCGCTGCCACGCGGAAAATGAAGTTTAACCAGCAGATAGGGAGACAACAAAAGGAGCCATCACCAGCCTAGCGTCATGTCGTCCATGCAGGAACCAGGCACATACTGACAGTAATTATAGCTAGAAGCACATGAAAGCAAAAGTGATGCAAGACTACAGGCTTCGGCTGTCAGGGAGGTTTTGCCAGCCCCTGCCCTTTCACTTTCAATCAGAACCGACATTGCTTCGAAGCGAGGAATGCCGCGGTTTCTGAAGGTTAGCATATTTCATGCGTTACACTTTCACAACGTGGCAAAGGCAAAGCTGCGAATGCATGTAGCTTGCCACGCATAGAGGAAACTGCAAAACTGATCCGGAAATCTTGAAATGCCATTCGAGCTGTGGTGATGCCCTGTCTGCGCGCCTCCCTCTTGGCTGTGGCGTTCGGAGCTCTTTTGGAAGATGGGGTTGGAAAAATGTGCATGAGACTGTAGCCAGAGCTCGATTTCACATAAAAATCGCAAAAAACTGTTACGTTCGGAGCAGCTTTGGATTTGTGTGGCCGAGTTCGTACGGCAAAATGCGCACGAGACTGTAGCCAGAGCTCGATTTCAAATAAGAATGTTCAAAAACTGAGGGTTTCAGAACGGTTTTGGATTTGCGTGGTCAAGTTCGCACGGCAAAAGGTGCACGAGAGACTGCAGCGCGAGCTCGATTTAACACGAACATCGTTATACCGCGGGTTCCCCAGGAGGCCTACCGCGGCCTTGATGGTCACAGCTTGCGACCTTTTTTTGTGTGTGGCACAGTGCCCGTCTTCATATTCCTTCGCTCGGAGTTCCTCCCGTAGTTCATCCAGTCTTTCGAGCAGGTGCTGTCGCCGCAGCTCTTCAAATTTGCACAGCAAACGCTGCCATCTTTGCACTTCCCATCGCTTCCGCCATCCTTTCAATACCCTTTGGCGGGCCTCCATTCCTTCACCCGTTTGCTCAGCGACCTTGAAAATCAAAAAGCTGCAGAGGCGACATGAATGCCATGCATGTCTGAAGCATGATCAAACCATAGAACAACTACGCAAAACAATTTCAAAGGAAATTGATCAATGCAACCGGCAAATCGAATTCTGAGATGCTGCAAGTACACCGGTCTGTTCAAATAAAAACCCCTCCCAATGTCAAGTGAAATGACATGAAATTGGCGTAAAAACATCATCATGTGGTCGAATCTTGTCAAATAAAACGCGACTGTGAAAACAACGTCGCGTGGTCAGATTAATTCAAAAAAACGAATTGCAACTGTGGAAAAAAAGGTCCTGCAGGCTAGGCCCATCCAAATTCAGATGTATAACCCACCACCCCGCCCTCCGACCCCGATAGCCTACCCGTCCCATCCCCCCCCCTCCAGCCACAATAAAGCCCACCCTGCCACCACCCTCTCCGCACCATTTCACCAACATCACCACCAGCATCACCCCTTCATCCTTTCGCCGCGGGATCTGGAGATAACTCGACACTGCAGGACCATAGGTAAACCCTAAACCCTAAAATATATATCCCATGATATCCGAATATATCATAATATATCCCCAAACAAATCCTCCAAAGCTCTATATTGCAGTTGCTTCACTCGACTCCAATGAAATCGTCATATTTTGGTCAGGTGGTCATCGACCGAGTTCCCCCAGGGTTCTTCAGCCCTGCGCCCCGTGTGGAGTCGCAAGTGGTGCTGTTGGAACCATTCAGAGGTCGGATTTCAGATTGATTTCATGGGACTTCACCAACAAAAGTGGAGATGTAACCTGCAAATTTTGGATTTTAAATAGGATTTAAGCCAGACACATGGGACCTTCATGTGATGTATCGAATAAAGATGGAGATTTCACAGGATTTAACCAGACAAAATGGAGTGTTTTTTGCTAAACCCTAAACCGACCCTTCTACCCAGGACCTTTTTTTCTGGAGGAGGGGGCATGGTGGTCACCCGGCCCGGGCAAGGACCCTGGCACATGCGTTACAAGGTAGTGCCCCAGTTCAGAATTGCTAAGTTGGTAAACATATTTTTTCCATGGCAAATTGTTAGATTACCGGAGGGCATGGAGGATTTCAAGGACCAAAAATTGGACTTTCAATGTTCAAAAAGTATGTTTTTAACCTACAAAAAATAAGTCTTTAACCTGCAAAACTTACACATGACACAACCAAATAACAAAATAGCTGCGTAACTACCAAAAATGGACGTTTGATCATCTGGCAAGAATTGCAAAGAAATGGCGATAAAACGAAGTGGTCAGTTCTTACTTTGAACCATCCAAATATGGGGGTACTACTAAACTAAACACTATTTCAGGTACATAAGATGAGGCACAGATCCATCTAAAATGTATGCTGTATGAAACAAATATCTAACTGAACACTAGACGCCTCAAACATGGCCTTCTATGAGGAGTTCTGACTCTAGTTGGCACTTCAGAACGTATCAGAATCCTTTGGTATTTTAACATAGCTATGAAAAATTTATTGTTCTTCATAGGTACATCATGAAACTACATGGGCCGTGGCTTCCATGGCTATGTGCAAATGACACCCCTGCCTTTGGATCGATTTCGTTCGAGACCACCTCATAAACCGCGTGCAGGAAATTGGGGAAGATGACCCCCCGAAAATCGGGATTGGCTCAACAAAAACGCTTGAGACCAGCTAGAAAAGTGAGGATGCAATCCACCAACAGTCAATTTTTTTCAAAAAATTGGCACATCATCTCGAATAAACACATATTTGGTACCTGTGAAGCTGGGCAATACGACGAAGCACGTGATTTTCAGGTACATCATGCTGAAAATCCCACCAAAGCTCATCCATAATTGACCAAAAATGAGTATGAATCCACCACAAAAGCCGACATAAAATGAAAATTTCTTGAGGCTCCGTTCGGCCCCAATTTATTTAAGATCGCCATCTCTGGATACCTCTGGATCATTCTGTACAAAAAAACAAAAGCCTGATGTTTCAAAGCCTTCATGGGGATCCTGATAATTCACCAACCTGAAATGTTGAGCCACCACTGGGGATGCTTAGGTGATTGCCTCGTGCAAGCCCTAACTTATTTTTTTTGATGCTGTCATTGTCCAAGTCGCAAAGCGAAGGAAGAACTCGTAAACGATCTGGAGATGAGGCCAAGCCTTCTCTAAAGTCGGTTCCTGCCGCGCCGAAGCATCAGCCCATATCCAGCTGTAGCGGGTTATGAATCATACGGATATCATACGGTAGAATGGATGTAGATCTAAAATGATTCACATGGGTCATACGTAAAAAACTACACTCAATGCAATGACCATGGGCCCAACAAAAGGCTGCAACTGTGATGACTCTCACCAAGGCACAAGACGGACGTCTAGAATGATCAAATCGTTTTTCAGTTCGAAAGGGGTCCCAAAAAACAGACTTGGTAAACCCAATGTCAGAAACCATCCCCAAATCACCAAAAATGAATGGTATATTATAAACCATCCCCGAATGGAAGGTTACATTATTGGGTTGCCCACACTACAAAGTTCTGATATCACCATGAACTCATCTCGAAATAGTAGAATTCCTTCCTGTCCTAGTGTAAAACTCTATACAGAATGGACCAGACCCTCAGTCCTTCATTTCCACCAGGATTTCAGGTGATTTGGTGAAACAGTGAGTGCTACGATTCCGTTTAAAGAACCCCCAAGATACACGATCTCGGCAGCATCAATTGTCGTCCCAATTGGTGATACTGATACTGATAGTCACTGATAGTGTCCATGTTTAGTGATTCCACAGATCATGGCTCACGTTTCCATATTTCCCACTGTTCATACCCCACATCCCCCTCGATTCGGAGCCTCTTCGTCGTCGCCCAAACAAACGAAGGAGCGATCCTGAGACAAACGATCGTGAGTTGCAGCCGCTTTCAATGGTGATAGAGGGCCAATATCAGGGTTCTGATCATAATTGGAGACTTATCAGGGTTACCATGGTGTGTAGTCTGATATGCAGGTTTAACAAGATGCAGCCCACGAACCCGCATGCTCACACGTATGTTAATGGTACAGATGTCAAAACACGTGGATATGCAGTCACGCAGAACACTTTTCTGCAATAGTTTATTTGAACAGTCTTGTACATATTTCCTTTGTTACCTGTCTGCAGTGCGGAGTGGAAAGTGTAGAGTGTGGAGTGTGGAGTGTAAAGTAAGGAGTGTGGAATGGAAAGTGTGGAGTGGGGAGTGTAGAGTGTGTAGAGTGTGGAGTGTAGAGTGTGGAGTGTGGAGTGTAGAGTGTGGAGAGTGTGGAGTGTAGAGTGTGGAGTGTGGAGTGTAGAGTGTGGAGTGAGGAGTGTAGAGCGTGGAGTGAGGAGTGTACAGTGTAAAGTGTAGAGTGTAAAGTGTAAAGTGTAGAGTGTAGAGTGTGGAGTGTAAAGTGGGGAGTGTGGAGTGTGGAGTGTAAACTGTAAAGTGTGGAGTGAGGAGTGAGGAGTGAAAAATGTAGTGTAAAGTGTGGAGTGTAAAGTGTAGAGTGCGGAGTGTGGAGTGGAAAGTGTAGAGTGTGGAGTGTTGAGTGTAGTGTGTGGAGTGCGGAGTGTGGGGTGTAAAGTGCGGAGTGTGGAGTGTGCAGTGGGTAAAGTGTAGAGTGTGGAGTGTAGAGTGTAGAGTGTGGAATGTGGAGTGTAGAGTGTGGAGCGTGAAGTGCAAAGGGTGGAGTGTGGAGTGTGGAGTTTAGAGTGTGGAGCGTAGAGCAGGCAATGCGACACGTCTGAAGTGCTGCGCCTGCCATGCAAAAATGACGACAGAGATCTCCAAAATGTTGCTCGACACGACAACCTGATTGAAAACCTTCGAAAAGGAAAGGTTTTGCGTCTTCCCCCATAGACACGGCGAGGCCACAGGAAAACCAGAGACTCGAGACAAGACACGTGGGAGCATCAAAACGAGCATTTCGTGCGAGACTTCCTCCAATTTTGACACTTTCGACACATTATCAAACAGGTTGGAATGTCACAAAGTGCCACGCCTGCCACGCAAAACGACATGACAACCTGTTTGAAAACCTTCGAAAAGGAGAAAATTTGTAACTTCCCCCATACACACGGCGAGGCCACAGGAAAACCAGGGGCTCGAGACGCGACACGTGGGCGCAGCAAAACGAGCATTTCGTGCGAGATTTCTGCTAATTTTGACACTTTGTAGCTTCAAAATCGACGTTTTCCTACGAGTTTTCTTAGGAACCTCTAAATTTGCTGCCTCAAAATCAATGTTTCGCGCGAGGCTTCCGTCAATTTTCATCACATCTCACAAAATGCCACGCCTGCCACGGAATCTGCACCCTGTCGCAACTTGACGCAGCCCTGCCAATGTGATTTGCAAAAAACACGCAACACGACACGTCTAAAGTGCTGCGCCTACCACGCAAAATGACGATGGACACGTCAAAAGTGCTGCGCCTACCACGAAAACTGCAACGCATCTTCTGAAAATGTTGCAAAAGTATTGCGCGTGCCACACAAAACAACTTTCGACACGTTACAAAACACGTCTGAATGTCACGAAGTGCCACCTGCCACGCGAAACGAAGCAACGCGACGTTTGAAACCTCCAAAAATGACCCCTTCTGGAGAACTTACCATAGGCACGGCCATATAGCAACTGCGCGGACGGTTGCGAACGGTTGCGAACGGGTTTGGAACGTTGCGGACGTTCCTACGCAACGTCGAGCGAACACCAACTGGCTGAGGAGAATGGATTAATCCACGGGGAAGTCCACCCGCGTCACTCAGTGGCTGGTGGTGCTAACACAATCCAAAAGGAGTATTCGACTGGGTGTCGGTGTCCCAGATTAGGAAAAAAAAGTACAAGAATTCTTGTGTGGAACCACCAACTGTATATATGCTGATGAATGTAAGTCTGTACGAGTATGTACGTATTCAATCATATTCATTTATTCATGTATTCATGTACGTATGGATCCATACATACATGCACGTACGTACCTATGGAACTTATGCAAGCATGTATAATATGTCTATCTATATAATATCACTGGTGATCTCCCTGTCTTTCCCCGTACTTAGCGGCCTTTCAGAATTTCATACGCCCGTCATCCGACCTTGGAAGGCAGAGCCCGGAAAATGTTGCACCCAACCATCTTCACCTGACAAGAAATCGCGGGTTGTACCCTCGCAAGATCTCGCAAGATCTCGCTCGTGGATTGACCCTTGAAAAATGTTCATATACCCTTTGGTTCTTTAACATAGCCATGGTATAGATGGCCCATTTATAGATGGTTTACCTATTAAAAATGGTGGATCTTTCCATGGTTATGTTAAATTACCAGATGGTACCTAGCAGGGAACCCCGAAAAGATTGGATGTGACTTTTCTATCTTTTTGGAGGTGCTGCAGAAATGGTGATGTTTTTTCTTCAGAATGATGAAGGCCTTCTATTTACTGAGGCAAATTTTCGTGATTTGCCTTGCAATTTGGATTGACCCGGTAAAAGAACATGGTGAAGCCATCTTTGGGATCTTCCCACCTGCGTGCTAAGCATCGATTTCCGCTTCGTGAAGCCACAATACCAAATAAGTGGCAAAGCAAATACTACACCTGAAAAGTGTACAGACCTCTACAGCGAATAAATCCAGGGTTCACTATTCTGGGGAAGTTGTGATTTCAGTGGTGTCCATACCTCGTTGTAAACCGGACTTACCGGACTTACCGGGTTCCAAAGGAGTTCCCAAAAGAGTTTCTGATCAGGTAGAAAAGCAAGTCACCATGAAAGTTATGGGCCCTAACTTGTCTATGTTTTGGTCCCTGTACTGAGTACTTTTTTATCAATTTGTAAACCACATGACATATCACATCCCATGATATATCATCCGTGTGTATCATGTGTATCTATATATATATATATATATTGTATATATCCCATGTAAATACCATGCATATACCATGTACAGATCATGTATATATGTAGATATATATATATATATCATGTATATCTAAAAACATATGTCATTATCAGCATGATCATGTGTACATACATATGTATGTATATAATGTATCTGTATATGTAGTCATGGAATGTCATGGATATTACCCTCTGGTAATTTAACATAGCTATTGAAAATGGCCATTTATAAGGAGTTTTTCCGCGAAAAATCGTGATTTTCCATAGTTATGTTAGTTTACCAGAGGGTACATGATATTCCCATGGTTCTTGGTGAACACCAAAAATACTCTGCTGAGTGGCAATCTCCGGAATCAAGGACTCCTGAAACGCCGCGCGGCTGCTGTTGACCTTAGCAAACTGCTTGCCATGCTGCTCAGCTGTGGCTTTGCTGAACCCAAACACAGGATTCAATTCTTGATATATCCATGTTTACATAGAATTTATCATAAAAAGACTCTTGGCATTTTGCTTCATATTAGCTTCTGCGCAGGTTGGAAATTCATAAAGCATTCAGATTTTACTAAATCGTGAGTTCAGTACAACTCAAGTTCTTAGACCCATGAACCTACAGGTTGTTGCTGCTAATTTAATTGAGAAATATCCCAGTTTGACCCAAGCCGAGCTGATGTTATCCGACCCCGGAAGCCCAGTCGGGAGCACGTTTTGGTGATCCCCAACACTATAGCCCCAACCCATTCCAGGTCGACAGTGGCACCATTGAATTTACCCAGATAGAATGGTGGCAAATTTGTCATGATGATATTAAGTTGGCCAACGTGTATATTCCATGCACGTTCCATTCACGTTCACTAAATATCACAATTACCCTCCGGTAATCAAACATGAAGTGCTGGAATATCAACCATTCACTTCGAAGATTTTCGCAGCACCAAACCTCCATTTAGTTCGTGGATTCTGCGGCCGCTTGCCATCTTTGATGACACCGGAGGTTATGTCCCCATAATATGGGGTTGTAGTACCCCAAAAAGATAGAAAAGTATATCCTCACTATTTTGGTCGGATTACCTTAGCTATATATATATAATTATATATATATGTATACATACATCATTATATTTTAGCTATATTTCCTTATCCCCAAAATATCCCCAGTGTTTTGGTTCTCCCCTGTCCCCGGTGGCAACCCAGTGACGAACTCCACCATCTCCAGCAGACTTTGCCGCTTGGACTCTTTGCTCTTCAGGTTGGTCCTTGGGGCGAAATCGCGGGCGAGAGTTATGTGGTTTTATGATGTCGAAATGTTGGGGATGCTTTTAGGGCAATGATGATTTATGATGTCAAATTGGATGATGAGGATGAGGATGAGGATGAGGATGATGATGATGATGATGATGACGATGACGATGACGATGACGATGACGAGGACGACTACAATAAAGGTGATGACTTTGAATAAGTGTGGGTCTTGATAATAACTGATGATAATGACAATGATAATGCCCCTTTATTTCATTATATTTTATGATACTTATAATAAGTATCCCGATGATTAAGAGGACTGTAAATCCAAGACATGATTCGAGGCAATGAAATTGATTGGTTCCGTAAACAGAAACTATCATTTGCGCGGCTTGACCGCGTGAGATCGCTATAAATCCACCAAATCTGTTCCCTGACTTGAAAAATCCGATCAATCTTGCGTCGCTGAACAAAAAACGCACGGTTCAAAGATGTTCAGTACGCATATTCCATGACGAGTTGCGCAGTATGCATGGCCAATCTTTAACCGCCAAGAGGTTCAGCGGTGGTGCGGTGGTTCCCAACCAATGCTGGGGACCCCAAGGTTTCACCCAAGATGTTGACTTTCTATGATGGACCCTATTTCTTCAACAAATAAGGGGTAGGAATCCAGCCACAAATTCGAGCTACCCCAGTTGTTGGGTAGATGCGACACTAGATGGTGTAAAAAAGCATCTGGGAATGTAGTAATCCAAAAATAGACACATACCACCTGGTTTTATCATTTGCATGGTCTCAAAACCTTCAAACAACGATTGGTGTTTCCCATGGTAGTTTTAGCTCATGATTGCATGGTATCCCAATTTGGAACTGCCTACTCTTGATCCATGTGATGACCAAACTCAAGGCTGGCCTCTCGCTCGCAACTTGGGCTCACACTCAGAGCTGAAGTCATAGATAATACAGCACGCCTGGCCAGCTGCAGGTAATGGACATTCAAATCATTTGCCCCCTTGACGCAACGAGAAAGCTCCCTAATTTATCGTCCAGTTTTTGTATGTTTTTGAAGTTTCAGAACAGGTGGTGTCACACTGTTGAATCCAGAAGAACACTAATGTCCCATAATTAGGATCCGGCTGGTGCTATATTAATGGTGCTCCAGCCGGATCCCATTAACATATATACCCCAGTCATGTTAGCATTTTTCTACACCAGCCGGATCCGTCATGGCTATTGGTTGATGTGACCCTGGTCCCTTCCCTGATTCCACTGCTTCGGAAGTGGGTCAGAAATGTCCGGCCCAACTGCCGAGCAGTTGGCCATTGAAGGCAGCAATTAATCTTCAGAATGGCGAGTGCTTGTAGGTGATTTACCTATTGAAATTGTTGATTTTCGAGCTAGGGCCAATTCATCACAGAGGTAAAGCATTTTGGAAAAAAAAATGTCTACCCATTGATAGAAGCTTTTCCCCAAGGGGATTTCTTCCCATGTTTGATGATTAGGTTCACGTTGAAATCATGATGGGCTCTCAAGGCCTAGTGAAATGGTGGGTGTACTCTCAGTTATACGACCAGTTACACAAATATCTTGAGGTATATCCCCTGGTTATCTAAGCTGAGAATGGAAAATCACATATTTATACCAACGCATAGGTGACTTCTCTATGAGCATGTTCCTAGCATTCGGATACTGTGATTTCAAATGGTCATCGGAAAGTCATTTATACCCATTGATATCCCTTCATAGCGTTTCCTGATTTTATTACCCATGTATGTTCATGTTAAACTGTTACACTCGTTCATTGGTATAGCTGCACCAATTCACATCAATCATGGGGGTTAACCCATCTTTGATTTGCTCAAATCTATGGGTTTGTCTGAGAATAGTGAATACCCTCTGGTAAACTAACATAGCTATGGAAAATCACTATTTTTTATGGGTAAATCAACTATAAATGGTCCATTTTCAATAGCTGTGTTAGTTTACCAGAGGGTACATCAGGGTTACTGACGGTTACTGTATACATCCCATTAAAAATATCCCCAGAAAGTTTCCGCTTTGGTGAAAAATCCTCAGTTCATCGACCCATGTTTCCTCCAAAAATGCCCATGAAATCCAGCTTTTTATCCCATAAAGTTGTGTTTCCAAACCTCCATTTCCAGGAAAAATTGGGATGGCTTAGGGTTTGAGGAGTTATCTGTCACATGAAATTGGTTTCAAAACCATAGAATAATCCCAACAAAAATTATGACATGTTGCCTGAAATCCAGTGAAATCTATTGAAATCCCCTGTGCTTTTCCCCATGTTTGAACCTGCAGCTTCTGCCGAAAGAGTTCCGGCCGCTCAGACGCGGGCTCGTCGCGGAGCTTCGGCCTTGGAGGCCGGGCCAGTGGTTTTTGGGGAGAAAACATGGAAAAAAAAGGCGGAAAATCTGTAAATTCTTTGGGAAGTGGATAGAAATGGATGGAATAGATGGGTTAAGCATGGTTAGGCAAAACATGGGAGTCCACCAACTAAAGAATGATGAGGTTAGGGGTTGAAGCAACCAAAGATTTATTCTTGTTCACTGGAAAATGGATTGAAAATGGGGATTGAAGGTGTCTTAAACCAAGATGTGAAAACCCACTAACGAAGATGGATAGAAAACACACACGCAAAACATTGAAGTTTCAAGAGTTCACCAATAGGCTCTGAGGCTCACCTGTGCATATTTTGATCCAGCCGACTGGAAGCAGCGGAAGCTGTTCAAAATAGAGAGCCATCGTGCCATCATGTGCCATCATCAATCCTATCCGATCTATCCATTTTTGTTCCAGCTACATCTGCGTAGGCCCTGCGTAGGCAGTACGGATCAGTACGGATTTCCAAGGTCTTTAAACGTCCATTTCCAACGGGTTTCCTGCCTCATAGCCTTGGATGTATCACAATATCTACCAAGGCTTGGTGCCAGGAGCAAGATCTTGAGAAACCACGGGATTCTTTGGATTCTATGCGCACTTGGGGAAGGATGGTGAGTATCAACCATGCTATAACCATTTTGTTTTTGGATCCACCATTGTGAATCCTAGCCATTTCCAGTGACTTGGAAGCGCATCCCAGCATTTGAGTGATAAACAGTGGTGTTTGTCACCATTCATGATTTGCCAATCCCAGTCATGTAAAAAAATCTTAAAAACCACCGATTTGAAGTGATTCCTGGGTCCAGGTTCGCCCACAGAGTTGGAAAGCCGGTCTCGGCCACTTTGGCTCGCCCTGGCAGCAAAGATTCCGAAAAATCATCCACGGATGACAAAATGAAGGAGATGCCAAATGATAGATCATGATAGATTACGCCTTTCTACACGTCTTGGAGATAGTCCCAATGATGATGTTTCTAATATCCAACGAATTTTCACTGAAACAGCTGCTTATTCATGTTCCCTCTTTGCCGATGATAACATCCGAATTGGACATCTGAAGTCTTGGGAAATCACCGGGGAGCATTGTAATTTCTATTCATCCAAATTGCATCCAAAAAAAATGGTGGGTTGAAGACCAGCAAAGAAAACTGTGGTTTCACCTCCATTCGCGTTTGTCTGAGACTAGGTATACCTCAAAAATATCAATTTTACCGTGGAGAATGAGGCTTTAAACCACTTGGATTCTAGGAGGCTTTTCTCAGATTCTTTCAAAGAAACCAGGATTTCTCTAAAGATTGTAGGATACTTAGGATGCATCCAGGATACATCCAGGATACCCACCAGTTACCCATGATCCTTTCCCATCATTTCAGCTGTCCTGGAGCTGCGGGACGTGGCTTCTCCTTGGCGAGGTTTCTCTAGAAATGAACTGGTTTTTTCATGGAGAAATGTCCGCATCATTTCAAACTGATACGAGTAGCAGTAGCAACTTCTGACCCAAAAAAAAGGTTCAAATCTCATCCTTTGAAGTGCATGTGAAGGATCGAAATGGCGCCACAAAGTTTCGACCCAAGTGTGACCATTTCACCCCGGAAAAAAGGACGGATTTGAGAAAACAAATGTATGAAACCTGTCGTTTCTTGTGATCAAGTGCATGGAGGCCACTAGCAATCTGAGAGAAGCTAACCAAGACAAAAGTGGAACAAAAATGCCGAACACGATAATTTTAAGCCCAGAAATGGAACAAATGGAAACCCTGAAATTGCCATTCCAGTGCATGAGAAGTATTTTCCAAACATTCCAACCAAATCCTGGCATAGTTCCGTGCAGATTTCTTTTTCTGAGGACTCACATAGATTGTTTTTACCTTCAAACAGGTGGCAGATCATCCACAGATCCATCACCTCATGCAAGCTCAATCAGAAATTCATTGATATTTTCTTACTTTCAACCACTCAAGCTGGCCATAGGACCATAGGATGCCTGGCAGGGCTGTATCTGAAAATGCCAGGTATACCCCGGGATACCCCTCCACCATTGAAAAAATGATGGGAGCCCCAGAAATCCCAGGTGCTTTCCTAGTCGGGGATGAAGACTTTCAACAGATTTCCGGATCCATTAAAAACAACATAAAAATCATGTTTGAAAGCGCCATGTCTGCGGTCATGTTCAACCAGCCTAGGATTCAAACCTTGTAGTTCCAAGTCATTTTGAGTATTCCCCACAGATTTCTAAGAGGTTTTCAAACCTGGGTCCCAATTGTATCCCAGTATGTATACCCTTCGGTAATCAAACGTGGCTTGCTGGAAAACCCACCATTTTGTTCGAGGATTTTCCAGCCATGTTTGATGACACTGGAGGATATATCCCCAGAATATGGGTTATATAGCAGCCAAAAAAAAATAGAAAGTACTTAATCACGATTTTAGTTGGATTAACTTAGCTATATACATATACATATAGACTATGAATATATATATATATATTAAACATATACATACACCATCATATCTTCGCAATATTTCCTGATCATATCCCCAGTATATCACCATTGTTGTTGGTGAAGCTGGCTCTTCACTGCGAGGAACTGCAGCATCCTCATCCTGAAAAGCCGCAAAAGAATGGGCCCTGGGCCCTGAGCGTTGATAATACAAATGGTTCATATACAATACATATACCATACATAGACAATACATAGACAATACATATACAATATAGTGAGCATATGTGTTTATCTATATATTCATATACATAGAGATAGAGTCATTACTGAATATAATGCGTGTAGTTCATATGCACTTGATAGAGACAAAGCCATATGTATAATATATTGTACCTGGATGGGTCTGAGAGAATTTAATCAACAAACACAAATCAGGGAGATCAAGCCACTAAAAAACAACCGTGACATCGGGTAGAATTGGATAGAGAAAACACGTATACATATGCATAAAACCAACTACGCAACTACATGAACTGGGTCTGCCCCAAAAAGGATATGACGTATAGTGTTAAACCACCAGGTGGAATTGGATAAGTCCTTCATAAGCTTTCTACAGAGCTTCTCTACGTTGGGCTACGTTGGCTAACTTACCCATGTTTGCACAAAGTGACATTGGGGAATGGTTATACTTACCCTTCCATCGGGGTTAACATGCCCATCTAAGCCATCCCAAAACCAGTATATAATCAATTGCGATCATCTTTCAAAATATGGTTAACAATTACCAAAAAAAATGTGCACATATATATATATATTAATATTTGTATGTGTACATATATTCATGTGTACATATATTTATGTATATATATATATATTAAATTGTATTTATTATGTAACCACCAACCAGTAACATGCGTGTGTCTGAAACCAGTGTACAAAATGGATATTTCAATGGGGAACCAATGGGTTTAGGTAGGTTTCCTACAATCTTCAGACAAATCCATATGGTTTTGTCTGAAAATAGGCTATCCCAAAATCTACCTGTAGATCCTCATTGGCCTTTGAAGCTATACTGCTATACTCCATTTTCAGACCCAAATCATCTTATGTTGACTTTATATCACCCTAAATAATGACCCCAGTCTATTCCAACTTTTGGTGAAATCAGTTTCCCTCAAACAATCAAACATGGCTAGCTGGGAAATGTCCGAACATTTCATGGGCATGTAGGTGATCATTCATTTTCCAGCCAGCCATGTTTTGATGGTAAAAATGTCCCCATGGCAGTTTTATGGTTCCCATGCCATGAATGATTCATGGCTGGTTCAGTCCTCCCCGATCTTCTGTTTAATGCTCTGTATGAGCTTCATGGCTCATTGCCTGGCAGAATGTAACCCCCCGAAAAAAGGTCGAAATTTATAGAATCCGACAAAAAAAGGTGATTGATTGCTGTCCTAGCGGGGGGGTACTGGGAAATATTATAAATTTATGGTATAAATAGCCAACCAACAAATGTACCACTGCCAAGTCAAATGGTATACTGTCGATGATGTCGATGGTCATCCCACTGTAATGAATGGGACTCCCCAATTAATGGCAAATTTCACCCGTGCGAATGGGGGATGACCACCACCTTTCAGAAGGGAAAATGCCGAATGTTTTGACCGTGTCAACTTGGATGTGCATCCCGGCACGGGTATGGCACGCAAGGAACTGTCTCCCAGGATCCATCCATTTGAATGTATACTTGGTGGCTCATCCCACGGCTCGTAAGTGGAATATAACCCCAGTTATAAGTGGATTAACCCTACTTATCCCGTTTACAACTGGGGTTATAGCCCACTTACGAGCCGTGGGTAGTTCGCCACCAAGTATAATATTCCAAGCAAAAAATGATGGATCAGAGGTGATTAGAGTCTCCCAAAACTGTTTGCGACAGATCGAATCATGCTCCCAGCCACGGTCCATTTTTGTAGATGTTCCCAGTTTCAATTCTCCACAGATATCCACATCAATAGGCCCACTTTTTTTTGTGAGAGCTGATGGTGGTCAAACAGCCCAAAAAATCATACGGCAGTGTCCACTGCCGAAAAGTCCCCATCTCCAATGATTGCTGTCTCTGCTGCCTCCAAATGGTTTTCACGCCAAATGGAAGACGCCAAGAGCCAAAGCAGAGACGGCGCCAGGTGCTGGTGAAACTTGCGACAGCTATGCAACCAATAGGAGTCTCTTCATTTTTGTATGTGAAACTGTGTATCTGACTATATATATATAATTATATATGATGAAGTCACTATTATGTGTACACATCTTTACTGTATATATCTGTACATGAAGAAAAATCACAGAACTGTTTTGTTCGCCGGAGTTTCTCTTTGATTCCTAGGGATGGGCACTCGACTGATCATCATTCCAGTCGAGTTGACAATGACATCACTAAACCACAGTTAGCTTCCATCGGTTCCCTTGGCACTTAAGTGCCCCCAAGTCCCAAGGCATCATTCTTCATGGTTTGACAACCCGACCAGTCGTGAAGCCTGGTCGTTGGTCAAAATTCAAAATCACCGAATTTCCCAATCAAAACATGATGATTGTGCAAAGATCACCTGACATTCCCAACTATTCCCAACCAAAATCTGGTGTCTCTTGCAGAAACATCATGATTTGGCAACTATTCCCAGCGATTCCCAACTATTCCCAAGATTTTACCCTGTTTTCCCAATTGCCTTGTCTTAGATCAAAATTAGGCACCCAAAAAACACCCCTTTTTTTAGGCCACACCCCAACAACGATCCCCTCTGCGGGTTTCTTTTTGCTTCGGTGTCGTCCAGTGGCTAAGCCTGGCCACAGTATCAAACCAGGGTCTCTAGATCTCTAGATGATTTTTTTTGAACTTCAAGGGATTCAAAGCAAAATATATGGGTGTAGAATCAAGTATACGTGTAGAAGGTCTGTGTTTCTTCAGTATACATGAAGATTGACTTGCAAATAACTTGCTCGAGAAATGCTTTGTCACATTGTCTTTTTGGCCTGGTCGTTCACCTTCAAGTCTCTAACAAAATGGGACAACCCCAGAAATCGCGGACATCCAAGCATAGCCAATGTGCTACTCACATATACTCATTGGATGCGTCATCCAAGTATACCCATCATGGAATGAATATACGAATATATAACTAAACCATCTCTGAGTCCAAAAAGGATCCAAACAGTGAATATTGCACAAAGATATTAACTCAAGCACTAATGTGGTGAGCGCAATACCCTAAATCATGCCTACCATTTGGCGTCTGTTCACCTTTTTCTTGACCGATGCGGATGGGAAAATAATGAGCCATACTTCATTTGCCCAAGTTTACGTTTCGAAAAGGGGCTAAAAACATCTAAATCTAAGCGGGGGTCGAAAATTTGGTGCCAACAAACCCACAAAAGTGGTTGTGTTTTGCGCCGTACCCACCGACCAAGGCTCAGCCATGTTGATCCCTTTTCAGGATGGTTAAAGCATCTTAAGCACGCGTATCTTTGATGGTGAAACCTCCGTTTTTCATGTTGGAAGCATCAAAAATTGGATGTTCAATTGAATTATATCAGAGTTATTCTTAATATCATCCATTATTCCATGATATTCAGCCATTTATTCAATGGATATCTATGGAATCATCTCACTTTTCCTTGGGAAAGTTATGTGAGTTTTCCTCTCGGCGCCTTCGGTGAGCGGCTGCGTCCTTGCACCCTGCGGTCTTCCTGGTTCAACCATCCAATTTTGCTGGAGAACATTGGACAAAATGCAGGAAAGGGATCAGTATGGCTGGAGAAAATTGAGATCAAACTCTCCAAAATTGCTGAAACTTGGATTCAAACAGCCCAGAAATATGGAAAAATGCAGATTTGAGCATACATCAGGATGCAAACCAACAACTTTTTTCGGATTGACCCAGCAAAAGCAGGGGAATCCAGAAAGAAAATTGAGAGTATCGCCAGCAAAAACGGGAAGATCACAAGACATCCTAGGAAGAACATCTGCTGATGCAAGCTTCAAGACATCTTCAGTGATGAACATCCACTTTCAGGTAACCTCATTTTGACCCATGCCTGTCAAAATCCAGCGTTTCTAGCGGCGTTCGTTGGTTCTGTCGTGTAACCAGCAATTATCTGTTCAACAACATATACAGTAGGAGATTGTATCCGATGTCGCGGGTCGAACACGTTTGGAACTTTGCAGATCATGTTCGGCAAATCATTATTGCTCATATACCGCCACTGCCGCTTATTATTGCTGAAATCCCATCAATCTTGCATAAAATCCATGAGTCCATTAAGTCCATTGGGGAAGCCATTGGGGAATGGGTACTGTGAAGAACTCAAAATACCCTGTGATTATCTATGCATGTGTGCTTAACAACTCCCAGCGAAGGGAAGCCTCAGAATTTTAGATGCTCCTATTCCAGGGATGTATAGCTGACGTAGTGAAACTCACCTAACACAACATTAGGGGTAAAATCGCTCGAGTTTGCGTCCGTCTCTGTGTGTGTGTGTATGTATGTATGTATGTATGTATGTATGTATGTATGTATGTATGTATGTATGTATGTATGTATGTATGTATGTATGTATGTATGTATGTATACAATGTGGATGTGTGTGTGTGTGTGTTTGTGTGTATAGATAGATATATATACATGGAGGTTTCCTAAAACGGGGGTACCCCTAAATCATCTATTTTAACAGGCTTTTCCATTATAAACCATCCATTTGGGGATACCCACATTTATGGAAACCCCCATATATAATCTACAGCTATACTTGGCCAACTTGAGACACGGCGAACCTCTTACACATCCAACTCGAAAAATCGGATCCAATCGGAAAGTCAGCCCCACTTGCATCACCAAGCCTACTCCCCACATTTCGGATGGGATTCTCATTCTCAAACTTCCGCCCATGGCATACCAATCCCAGTACACTTTCCCCTCATTTTTCCTAGTGCTTTCAACCAATCCCAAAAAAACCCAAAAATACAGATGGGATCATCCTCCCAAGGGATGGGTGATGAGGGCTCCATATTTATGGCGACCACGGTCCTTCTTGGGGCTTCGCTGTGAACTGCCACTCTCGGGCCGCTTTTTCCTGAGAAAAACCAAAGGATTTGAAAAACATCCAGCCATCGGAGACAGTGAAACCTGGCAATTCGGAGGCAGGCGCGAAAATGCACATTTTTACCCAACACAAAAAAAATTGGATGGAGACTTGAAATCACCAACCACAGCGAAAAAAATCGTACTGTAATGACCCATAGGATCCATGTACGCTATATATGGTAACATGGATCCCATCAATATACCCCAGTCATGTTAGCATATATACCAGCACCATGGATCCGTCATGGGTGATGGTAACTATGGTTCCAACTCACTGTTATCTATCCACTGGGACCATCACTTCTCCATGGAAAAGTCCATGAATCATGTGGTCAACCCAGCGAAAACCCTGAAACGAGCGCTTAGCGACGGCCAACTTGATACTCCCCTAATGGTCAGTTTGGGTTTACCACACCATTGGTGACTGGTAGGTCACAAATCATGTCACACCTTGCGCAATTTCGCCGGAATCGAGTTGACCAAAAATTGCTGCAAACATAGCTGGGAACTCCCCGAAGTAAATGGCTGTCGGCTACATGTGAAAATCATCGACATAATTGGGGCTTCTCACTCCTTGAAGCCATATCTGATTGACGAGAAACCCATAGTAATCCCATTCTCCCAGGCAAAAAATCATATGATCCCATCATCATCCCATTCACCCATTGAAATCCAATACCATCTTGTTATGATAAACAGTTCGCCATGGAAAATCCCCAAAATAAATGGAAGTTTATATATAGCTGGGAAAATCATCGACATAAATGGGCCATCTATACCATGGCGAACTGTTAGTCATAACCAGAGGGTAATCCCCATTTGGGGTATATTGATGGGATCCATGTTACCATATAGAGCATACCATAATCCAATGAGGATTACATTAATATATCCCAATATACCCCATATAGAACATACCAATAATCCCAAGCATTGATGGAAATCCCATTAATTGGATCCGTCATGGGATTGAAATCCAAAAAAATCCCCATTCTTCTCATCCGCAGGACTCTCCGGCCGAGCGTCATCAATTTGTGCTCGGATTCCAAGTTCTTCACCTTGCGGCCCATTGGCAGTGTGAAAAAATCCTGGGGATTTCGGTGCTTTGGGGCTGGGGGTTGTCGGGCGGTGGTATCATATATGTATATATAAGATACGTAATATGTATATATATATAACCTTGTTCTTTTGTTTGACATTTGACAATGTTGTTCTCTAAATTATTTTTTCTTCCTAGTCAAACCCACCCAACCCCCCAAATTTCTCTTCCCCTTCAGCTTGAGTCGTACCTCGACTTTGTTGTCGAAGGAGACGGTACGCTTAGAGGAGCCTGGGTCAAAAATGACAAGGGCAGGGGTCTGACTCCACCGGACCCATGGCTCAGGTTGAAGTACCAATATCCATGGCTCAGAGTTGCCTTCCTGGCGAAACTTGATTTCACTCCCGGTTGGAGAAGAAGAGTTTTAAGCATTTAAATCCTCCCTGAACTCCCCAGAAGACTTAGAAAAAATTCAGAAAAACCTAATGTTTGGATCACAAAACCCTGGCTTCCTGTGAATCTTCCCTCAATTGGCGAAGGTTTACACCAACTAACCCTTTAAACATTGTTTCCACGTGCATCAGAGAATAGCTGCTCCCAAGCAACTGGACTTTGGCGTCTGCGGCTCATCCGGGGAGCGTCCTCTACGAGAGTCTCGCACAATCCTGGACGACTGATGGACGCAGCTGCAATTAGTCAGGTTGCGCAACGTTTACGGCAGCCCGCTGGGAATCCAATCGACATGTCCCTGTTTTTAACATATGGAAACATACCGGAAAACATTTGTAAATAAAGGAAATGCTATTACTGCTATTACTGGCTTAGGTTATCAGATTATCAGTTTTCCCAGCGTTCAGCCATTCAGAAGGGACTTGGAACTTGGTTCATCCGCTGAAGTCCATCCATTCCTGCAGTATCCTGCAGTTATGCCATTGATTTCTGAACCTTGCAGCCATACAGCCTGGAAGATACTGGCTCTCAAATGGAATACATACATGATTCCATGATCATACATGCAGTATCTCCAGGATAAAGTCTGCATTTTGATGTTGCAGTTGCTAAGTGGCTTTATCCAAAAATTGATTAGCGCATTAAATCACGGTTTTGACAGAGGCAATTCTGCCAAACAATACTTTTAACAAGAAGATGATCAACAAATGACACGTTGAACATGGAAAGCAAGGTTTTTAATCGTTCAATGGATTGGTGCAAGGGAACAAAATATCACCCGAAACCATGGGTTTTACATGCTTTTACTCCAAAAATAAGGTTTTCCGGTCGATTTTCCCATGGGAACCATCGATTTTAGGGCGAAAAACGTCAAATGACGCCCACCTGTGTAGCGAACTCGAGGATGTCGAATCTTCTGCAGCAGTTGTACCTAGTCTCAGCTGTTGAAGGACGGGACTCAACAATAGATATACAGTAGTATCGATGGATTGGTTTAAGGGAAAATCTACAGGAAACCATGGTTTTTACCATCAAATATAGGGGTTTCCTGTAAATTTTCCCATCATCCAATTCTATGATAGTATATTTGGAGGTTTCCATAAATGGTGGCATCCCTAAATTTCCTAAATCATCCAGAAAATAGAGATGGATTTTCCATTGTAAACCATCCAGCTTAATAGGATGTTCCATTGTAGGTACCCCCATTTCAGGAAACCTCCATTTTTATATTGTATATATGGCAGTGTGTCAAAACCTTGTACCCCTTCTGTTCACATCAAAATAGCTGGGTTAAAATGGATGTTCATCCCACTAAAAATGGTATTAATAGGTATTGATCCATACCCATATTGACAATAATAGTGATGATAATGGTACTACTATGAACCCAAAGGGTAATTCCCTGTGAAATCTACACCTCGTTTCATGTTGGGCAAGTCATCCCTTTCTGCTCCAATTTCTAGGGTACCAAAGGGCATTGTCCAAAGGGCATATTGGCCGGGGTACGATATCCATATATTCTAGTCATGATGGGGATAATGTATATATATATACATAATCATAATCATAATCATAATAATAACTATTATTATTATAATGATGATAATAATAATCGGGTCTAATAAAATGTACATAACCAACTTGATATGATTGGGTTGAGTCTGAAAATCTGGGGATTTACCCGCAAGTTGTGACAAGTTTCATGATTTTAATGGGGAAAATGATCACATAAACATCATCATCACTGCATTTTTTCGATGGTTTTTCTATGGTTTCCTCCAAATCTCAACCAGTTTTTTCCGCTTGGGCCGCCCAACTCTCCTCGGAGACCCTCTTCTCGGTGATTCCTGCGCTGCGAAACAATGGATTGTTTGAAAAATTTTAACAGAAAACCATATATTTCACAGGGAATTACCCTTTGGGTTCATAGTAGTACCATTATCATCACTATTATTGTCAATATGGCTATGGGTCAATACCTCTGAAAATACCTTTTTTAGTGGGTTATTCACATCCATTTTAAGCCAGCTATTTTGATGTGAACAGAAGGGGTACCTATGGTTTTGACACACTGCCATATATTTCACCGGTAGCAATAGCAGTTTGGTATAATTTGGCCCATGATCCAATTCTGTGAATTGATCCACTTTGGCCCACACCAGGATGTGCGGTCCAGCATTCCAGCTTTTGTTGGTGTTTCCATGCGCTTTGTGTCATGTAGTTCGGTGTACTCCAGTTTCGCCTTTTATGTTCCAAGAAGACTAAAACAAAACAAATTATGTTCCATTTTGTTTAGTAGTATGGATCTTCATTGGGGTATATCAAATCGCCAAAATTAGGGATGTTCAAAAATGTGGATACGACAATGGCAGGAATAGTTGGATCGTGGCACGTCAATGCCTCACCTCTTCACTGCTTGTTCTTGTTGGTGAAACCCTGAGTTTCTGCACTCCCTTCGAGCTGCAATGATGGCCCCCAATCAACACCCGTTCTCATTCGTTCTTCCTCAGTTTCATCTTTGAGCTGGTTAAATCACCATTTTCTCAATTTATGTTGCTGGAAATCCAAAATTGTTATCAAGTTCTCATTGGTTAAAAACATTCAAAAAAAACAGAAGTTCTGCATATTTTTGGGCAAAATCCCATCCAAATCCCCCATGTTTTCTCCATGTTTCCCCATGTGTTTTCCATGGTTTTGGTGGGTGAAATCCCTGAAATCCCTACAGGATGGGGCCCCCAAGAGGTTGAATTCTATGGTTAGTGCTAGATATAACTATAGTTCATGGGTTTTATAAACCAACAAATATAACTGGGGGGCACCATCCTGTAGGTTTCCCCAACGACCCCCAACCCCAGCCGCGTCCTCGCCCGCCGCGGCCCTCCGCCGCCTGGAGCCACTCGTTGCGCAGCAGCCGCAGCCGCGCTGCGGCAGCGCTGCCGGGGGAATCTCCAGCCTCGTCACTGGAGATCCTTGGTGGTTTTTGTTTCACCCCCAGTGGGGCCTCCCTTGGGCATTGATTCCACCACGGAAAATGCGTGTGTTTACCCATGGAAGATGGTGATTTCACCCTGGGAAATTTAAAAATTTTAGGTACTTGACCATTGTTGAATAAAACTCGGTGGTATCCCCAACAGCCGCAACGTTATATTTTTACAAATCTTTCTGAAGCGTGCTGCGAAGCCAAGCGTTGGAAACAGCTCAGCTGGGTGTCCATGAATTAAAACCCCGCAAATCCTGTTGAACCTGACAACCTGGCTCTGCACCAAAGCCTCCCACACCTTCTCCGGACCCTTCTCTGGAACCCTGTTGAACCTGACCTGGCTCTGCACCAAAGCCTCCCAGACCTTCTCCGGAAGCCTGTTGAACCTGACAACCTGGCTCTGCACCAAAGCCTCCCACACCTTCTCCGGAACCTTCTCTGGAACCCTGTTGAACCTGACCTGGCTCTGCACCAAAGCCTCCCAGACCTTCTCCGGAAGCCTGTTGAACCTGACCTGGCTGCACCAAAACCTCCCAGACCTTCTCCGGAAGTTTCTCTGGAACCTTCTCTTCGGAACCTGTTGAAACTGACTTGGCTTTGCACCAAGGCTTCCTGGAACTTTCTCCGGAACCTTCTCCGGAACCCTGTTGAACCTGACCTGGCTTTGCACCAAGGCTTCCTGGAACCTTCTCCGGAACCTTCTTCGGAACCAAGAACCTTCTCCGGAACCTTCTCCGGAACCCTGTTGAACCTGACCTGGATCTGCACCAAAGCCTCCCGACCTGGCTCTGCACCAAAGCCTCCCGGAACCTTCTCCGGAACCTTCTTCGGAACCCTGTTGAACATGACCTGGATCTGCACCAAAGCCTCCCGGAACCTTCTCCGGAACCTTCTTCGGAACCCTGTTGAACCTGACCTGGATCTGCACCAAAGCCTCCCGACCTGGCTCTGCACCAAAGCCTCCTGGAACCTTCTCCGGAACCTTCTTCGGAACCCTGTTGAACCTGACCTGGCTCTGCACCAAAGCCTCCCAGACCTTCTCCGGAACCTTCGGAACCTTCTCCGGAACCTCGTTGAACCTGACCCGGCCCTTGCACTAGTGCACACCGGAGCTATTCTGGGCTGAAGACCCCATTAGCTTCCGCTGTTGGGGAATAAACAAAAATGGAGCTTTGACTATGGAAAACAGTGATTTCACATGATTTCACCATTAACAAACGTGGATCTTAGCCACCAACAATGGGATGCAACATGATGCAACCATCCACATCATCCGCAAATGGATACTAGTTAAGAACCATGGACGTCTACAGTAATCATCATCCCAAAATATGGTCGAAAAAATCACTGGATAATCTAAAACCACCAAGCAACAATATGGGTGTGTCTGAAACTGGGGAATACCCCCAAATGGCATTTTGAGATGGATAATGATGATTAATGGATGGAGAAACTGCTCAACAACCATCTATCGGGAAAATCAGCAGCAAACATCGGGATATTCCAGGAATGATCCCCCAAAAGGTGATGACGAACCAGGGCTATTTCACGCCAGATGAACATCAAGTCATATCACACTCCAACATGATCTTGTTCAGGAACTCAGAAAAACTCTATTGCCCCCAAACTTCAATTCCTGAACAATAAGAGACCCGAAATTTCTGATCAATCAAATACATTTTATGAGGGATTCGTTTGGGTGGTATTTCCCCCTGTCCATTAATATCCATTAAAATCCCATTGAACATCCATTAAAAGCTGTTACATTCCCATTAAAAATTCGACCAAGCGTCTGCTTAGGACCTAGCGGATGCTCCTGAGGAATCTTCGACAGCCCGACCAAGGTCGCCTGCGCTTTTTGTGCAGGCCGGCGGTGAAAAAAAGGCTGTAACTATTGGGATATAAAGATAACTGTGCTGTAACTATGGTGGTTATAATACCAATAACAGTGATTACATATGGTTATATGATGGGATTATAACATATTATGTATATATATATATATATACATATATATACATATCTGGTTGGTGGTGGAGCCTACCCCTCTGAAACATATGAGTTCGTCAGTTGGGATTATGACATTCCCAATATATGGACAAATAAAAGCCATGTTCCAAACCACCAACCAGTATGGGATATGAGTGTATCAACTGTGGCGTAACTATGCGATTTTTTTTTAAACCACCAGTACCAGAAGTTGAGATATGGGGATGGGTCAAAACCCTGGTACCTAGTGAACCCCAAAATAGCTGGTAAATGGATGATCATCCCACTAAAAATGGTATTAATAGGTATTGATCCATACCCATATGTTTCCCAATAACTATGATCCATATATCTCTACTTACCTCACTGGAACTTCCTCTCGTACAGTTTACCAAGTACAGCAGGAGATTGAACACTAGAGGATTGAACCGTTGAACCATTGGTTCAATCGATAAAAATGGGTTATTGATATGGGTTCATATCCCAATGGTTATCCCAATGGGTATATAATGGGTATATAATGGGATATATCCCATAAAATGGGATAAAAACCATAAATGGCTTATAATTTCAGGATAGTTTCTATGGTATATAGACGCAATTTATTGTTGGATTGCATGGATTTCCATGGGAAATGTCACCAGAAAACCCGGCAAAACTGGGGACGCAGCCCGAGTTCGGGGGAGTTGGGGGAGTCTTTCACTTTGACCTACTGGCAATGGACCGAAAGCCATAAACCATGGGCAGACTTCGCCTTTTGGTTTAGGTACTTCTTCATTCGAAACAGTATGTGGTCAACTCAATAGCCTCTGGTAAACAGCCACATAACTATGGAAAATCACCATTCTTCATAGGTAAATCCACTATTTCTATGGCCATGTTCAAATTCGCAAACTATTAGTCATTACCAGAGGGTAATAAGGGCCTCTATTGGGGATGGTTTATTCGTTGACCATCCAGCTCGTTGTTAAAATCACCTTGAAATGATGTCGTGTCATCCCAAATGAGCAAAGCACAAACATCTTCTTAGATTTCTTAGTAGTATGATTAATTTGCCTTGTAAACAACATAGTACCGGAAATGATCATTGCTTGGACACGACAACCACTACCGAAAAACTGGGGACACCCCCTTATGATTATGTATAACCATGCTTACTGGCTAGTTCACAGTGTTGGAGTGATCATCGAGTAAAGTATGTACTTGTTTGGTGATCAGAAAAAATAGCCATGTAAAACTCATGTATATCCAGAAACATATCCATAGCCATTTGGGCATTTGGGTACCCAAAAAGATTGCTATTTGTTAGTACTTTTTAAATGGCGATCTAACCGGTTCGCAGATCCCAACAATGCAAAAAACCGATGCCGAAGTCACCAGATCCCAACTCGATGCACTTGCTGTTTACCATCTGGTTATGACTAACATAGCCATGGAAAGATCCACCATGCTATTAATAGGTAAACCATCTATAAATGGGCCATTGTCCATGGCTATGTTACATAACCAGAGGGTTAAAAAAACCTAATTCCTTCTCTTCTTCAAATCCCCAAGGGTTGCTTCCTGAAAAAACTTCCGTAAAAAAAAAAAAACAAGCTTCTTGCCACAGCAGAACTCCTATGGCTTCAGCGATCGGGTCCCCGGCCTTCTCAAAGTCGTCCCCGGTGGACACGTCCGCCTCACCCGCCGAGGTCTCGTAGGAGACAGCCTCGCCCTGCTAAAGGCTGATTGGAGGCACCAAAATGGACGGATTTTCCTGTGAAAAATAAGGGGACTACTGTTTTTAAAGGGGGATTGAAGTGTGTGAAATTGGGAGTGAACTCGAATTTGGGATTGATAAAATGTAACTAGCACAATCCAGTGGATTGGGACACAAAGAAATGGGGGATTTCATCGATAGCAGCCATTTTTGAGGAGATCATGGGATTTTGGCAACACTGTTATAGGGGGAGTACCATGGAGTACCACTACAAAATGGGCCATGGTGGACCATACGAGTGATACGGTTTTTGACGATCACCAACTGGGTTTAGTAGGGACATGTTTCGCCCAATATGAGGCGATGGGATATCTCAACGGTGAACTGACAGCTGGGGATATCATTGGCACTTCAATATACCATATAGTAGCAATGTATATCATTGGGGATTGAAAAGATATAATATCAGTGGCACTTGATATATCATTGTTTTTCATATTTTTCTATATTTTGAATGTCAATTGATAGAATATCAATGTCAATATAGAAGCAACAAGATACCAGCAGAACGAAAATCAGTGGCAGTTCACTCTCAGAAACAGGGGTTAAGCCGCCAAGTTGTAGCGGTAGAAACGTGTAAAATACAAACAATAGAATGGGCATGTTCTATAGGTAGAATGCGGGTACAAAGGAATATATGCGTGTATATATATATATATATGTGTATGTCTCTCTATCTATATATATATATATCATCCCAGTCAGTAAGTGGCTTTGCCCAAAAATGGAGAATGTCACCAAGAAAAAAAGGGGATACATGGGATAGAAACAAATTCATACCAGATGACTATGAATACGACCATTCAAGGGGAACTCAATTGGCATGAAACCACTGCAGGTGTGGAGTTTCAGCAACGAAAGAAAAAGGTATGGGCAAAGAAACGACAATGTTTAGGATCAAATCGCAATTTTGATGGGTGGATGGATTCTCAAAAAAGACAAAATGGCTTACTCCAGGTTGTGAATTGTAAATTGTTGTAACTGTCCCACTTCAATGGCTTGATTTGAGATACATGTTACAGTAAAAATCTGGAAAACATATGTCTTTACCCAAGCTTAACACTTGGATTACACTCAATTGGGTGTTTTTTTCTTCACGGGCCCAGAGTCAGATGGCACTCTCAAGCTGGCCCATCAAGGAGGTTCCAAGCACCCATCAAACCATCAGCTGATGTGATCCGTCTACATTTGTTAAAACATCATGTTCAGGACAGTCCAAAGATATTTAGGTTCATGGATTGGAAAACAAAGCTCAAACAAACATCATCTAGATCCCAACCATCAAACCACGTCTTTTCCGGGCAATTAATATGTCCATTTCGGAAATGCCAATAAAATTTCCAGGCGAAATCAGCGAAATCCAACCATTTCTTTCCGATTTTCCCGTGATTTCCCCAAGTTTTGAAAAAATGGTTGTCCCATGAAGTCCCTGATGATCAAATCCTCCTTAAATCCCATGAACATTCATGAATATTCCATTTACAAGTGCAATAATCATTAATTAATATTCCGAATATTCCATATTAAAGATTCATCAAACTTATGTGTACCATGAATATCCATGAATATCCCATTGACAAGTGGAAAATTATCATGATTTTCCCCCAAACAATTTTCCCAGGATTTTCCCACGACCCCACCTGCGGCGGAGCAGCTTGTCGTGCCGCCGCATCACGCGCCTCGCGCGCGCGGGCGCGGCGGCGGCGAGAGGAGCTGCTGCTGCGTTGCCGACGCACCTGGAGACGAGGCGAGAGGAACCTGGGGGGATGGGGAAAATGATGGAAAAGGGATTTAATGGTGATTTAATGCCCTCTGATAAACTGACATCGCTATGGAAAATCACCATCTTTAATAGGTAAATCAACGAACCACCACTTGGCCATGTTCAATAGCGAACTGTGAGTCATTACCAGAAGGTAATTTCAGGTTGGTGAAGATGGACGCATTTCTTGAAGGACATCCCTTCATTTCATGGAGAGATAAATCTATAGGTGACTTTTTGACCACGGAAAGTGATGGGCTGGGGAAATCCCGAATCGTTTTTGAGGTTGATAGCGGGATTTTTATCATCCATAACCATCAAGATCCATGTGGGAATATAGTTGATGATGATCACCATGCCGGTAAGTGGGCAATAACCATCAAATAGACTGGATATGATGATCAGGGTGAAAATGTACTAACTGGGATGATTATTCTAACCAGCTATATCTTCCTAAACTATTTGATGCTTTGTGGTTTTATTGATAGTCTTCCCAGCTATAAACCTTCATATTTCATGGGTGACTTCCTATTGCCATCCATGCCATCCATGCTATTTCGGCTGACCCGAGGGCTCTCGTAAGGACTCCGGGCATAGATCTCCTCACTGGTGTCACAGCAGTTCCCCTTGGAAATCATCGATCAACATGGACATGAAATGATTTGAATGGGACATTACATGATATCAATTATATTGGCATATATTGGCATATATTGAGATAACTCGTCTGGTCTAATTATCAACAAAAAAAATAGGTTCTTCATGGGAATGGGATATCTACTTGAAATTATATTGGGATGTATTGGGATAAATGATCTAATTATCGACAAAAAGAAACGTTTTGAATTTTGATTGGGATATCTGGACGTAAATGGGGAGATTTCTCATTGCCATCCATATTAGTTTGCTGGAGGAAAAAGTTTCACATGTCTGCTGTTCAACAAGTTTGATCAATTTTGCACGGGATCCTTAGTTCGTGTCCAAGAATGTAAGGGGATCCCAATCACGGTTTTAGCTGGTCGGTTTCGAGCATCCACAACTATTGTAAAAGCGGCACCTGGATATATGGAATGTCCAGCAATGTCAGATGCATCGAACTATAGGTTTAAGATTGAAAATATGTTCCAAACTTGCGTATCATAATCTTCATTTATTGTCCTCATGACAATTTCATTACCCCCATTCTGCATGCATATTTGTTTGGCTCAAACCCCCAAGTTAGAGGTATACATCATCATATAATAATTACACATTATATACTCATATATATATATATACGCCCAGGACGCCTGGTTCGCCGTCGGCGGGAAAGCAAATTTTCACCCTGAAAACATAACAATAACGTAGCATTTCCACCCTGAAAACATGGCGATAACGTAGCATTTCCACCCTGAAAACATGGCGATAACGTAGAATGTCCACCCTGACAACATAGCGATAACGTAGCATTTCCACCCTGAAAATATGGCGATAACGTAGCATTTCCACCCTGAAAACATAGCGATAACGTAGCATTTCCACCCTGAAAAACATAGCGATAACGTAGCATTTCCACCCTGAAAACATAGCGATGACGTAGCATTTCCACCCTGAAAACATAGCGATAAACGTAGCATTTCCACCCTGAAAACATAGCGATAACGTAGCATTTCCACCCTGAAAACATGACGATAACGTAGCATTTCCACCCTGACAACGTAGCGATAACGTAGCATTTCCGCCCTGAAAACATAGCGATAACGTAGCATTTCCACCCTGAAAACACAGCGATAACGTAGCATTTCCACCCTGAAAACACAGCGATAACGTAGCATTTCCACCCTGAAAACATAGCGATAACGTAGCATTTCCACCCTGAAAACATGGCGATAACGTAGAATGTCCACCCTGACAACATAGCGATAACGTAGCATTTCCACCCTGAAAATATGGCGATAACGTAGCATTTCCACCCTGGAAACATAGCGATAACGTAGCATTTCCACCCTGAAAACATAGCGATAACGTAGCATTTCCACCCTGAAAATATGGTGATAACGTAGCATTTCCACCCTGAAAACATGGCGATAACGTAGAATGTCCACCCTGAAAACATAGCGATAACGTAGCATTTCCACCCTGAAAATATGGCGATAACGTAGCATTTCCACCCTGACAACATAGCGATAACGTAGCATTTCCACCCTGAAAACATAGCGATAACGTAGCATTTCCACCCTGAAAACATAGCGATAACGTAGCATTTCCACCCTGAAAACATAGCGATAACGTAGCATTTCCACCCTGAAAACATAGCGATACACGTAGCATTTCCACCCTGAAAACACAGCGATAACGCAGCATTTCCACCCTGAAAAAACATAGCGATGACGTAGCATTTCCACCCTGAAAACATAGCGATAACGTCATATTTGCAGCCAAAAAAACGCGCGCGACAGGATGTTATCACACCCCCCCCCACCCAACCCCCCCCTAAACCCCTCCCCCCACCCCACCCCCCCCCAAAAAAAACAACACAAATGGATGCATCGGAAGCGAAGGCGAACCAGGCGTCCTGAGGGTATGTATATATATTATCCCATGACATGTCCCCATCCCATCCCGGTGGTCATCAGTTGCTGAACCCCCCTGGTGTCCTCGTCCACACTGCGCCCGCGCGGCGCGGGCTCGCCCGCCCGCGGCCCGCTGGACGGCACGGCATCACCGGGCTCGCGCTGAGGCGCAGCCACCTCGTTGAGGAGATCACCTCGGGGCGCCGTGGCCGGGGCCCCGGAGGGCCCCCTGGTGTCATCCAAAAATGCCCTGGAAATCCGTGAAAAATTGGAAAAAATGTGGTGAAAATGGAGGAAAATAGGGAAAAGATGGGAAAATCCTTTACAAACGGAAGTTTTAGAGCTGGGAAAATCATCTAGAATTCAAAAAGGGAGATTTTCCAGCAAACCATGGTCGATTACCAGAGGGTCACTAATGAAATAACCGAGCCACCAACAAAAATGGCGGATTTCAACCATAAACATGAAGTGGGACTAGACTCCCAAGCAGCACAAGGCCAAAATTTCCCAACTTCGGACAGATCTGTACTAAAGGATGCCGGATTTTCGCGGCGAACAACAGGGACCTTTTGGTGTATTTCCCACACCCCAGAGCGTGTCTAGGTCCTTGGGCAATGTAAACATATAGGACTCAACCGTTTCCTGCTTGTACTCAACATCAAGGAACCCCACGAAAAGCACAAAATCCCAATTATTTTGGTCTTTTAGAAATAAGAATAAACACTTGGTTCTATTTCAATGTTGAAATGTTAGCTCTCTATCCTTAAAACACTAAAGTTCACTGCTTGGATCGCCTTTTCGTTGAACCTACCTTTAAAAAAACCGAGGAAACTACGCAGCCAAGGAGGTGTTGCCATCTCTTCGTAGTAGTAGTTGACCTTGGGAAAAAATCAACCCTTGGAGACTGGACTACTGGACTCGCCAAGTCTGGTGGCTTACCACATACCCTCTGGTAAACGTTAAAACTATGGAAAATCACCATGCTATTAATGGGAAAAAACACTATTTCGACTGGGCCATTTTCTATAGCTATGTTAAATTACCAGAGGGTATATGTCATTATACTTGTTTCTATGGTGGGAATTTCCTGAAATGGAGGAGGAAAAAAAAAAGTTGGCTGATGGCCCCCCGGGTTTTGAGAAAACCAGACATAAATGCTTGAATTGGAGAATGTTCTGTGTATCCCAGCATGATTATGAATCTTGGGAAATTCTTGCATCTGTAAATGGTGCACCTATGGAACATTTGGATTTCCGATTGTCAGAGAGCAGGATGGGTCCTTCTGTGCTGTCTTCATACCTAAGCAGAAGAGCCAATAGAGTATTGGCTGCAAAAAAAAAACAACAGAATCTTGGTGCAGGGGATCTTGAGTATTCTTTCCAACATGGCATAAGCTCCCTATTGCAACATCCAAAGATTCTATCTCAAAGTTGGTCCACAATATCGTACTTCCACCGACATCACCCAAAGTGTTTGATCCTCCAAGAAAGACTTGGTATCCAGTAGGTATCGCACTTCCTGATGTAGATACATAACTTTACCACCCCATGGTTATGTACACAAAAACACCCCATCAAAGCTCACCATCAGCACATCAACCCATTGCACGCTCAGGAACGGCTAAGGGAATGAGAACCCCAAGGGCAATGCCAGTGAGAACCACCACCACCAGGGTGAGATACATGGTTTCGCCTGGAGAGCTGTTCGGCAACGAGTTTGTTCGTAAAAACTGGGACGTAAAAGTGATGTAAACTATGGTTTATAACTGGATTAACCATGGTTTATGGTAGATATATATATATTCATATATAGTCGATTGTCTATAACTATATTACTACTGATTTTAATGTGGTTGCAAAATCAACAAACATAATTCGAGAGGCCACCTTGAATGCTTAGGTAAGTTCGATTTTTACCTTCCGAAACATGTTGTACAAACAGCAAGTAGATTGACCCGCATGTCTCGTCAGGTCCCCTGGAACAATTCAATACGAGGCAGTGGTCTTGAGATATGCACCTGATTTCAAGGACCCATGGGCGTTACGCTCCACACTTATAGCAAAACTACTTCCTTCCAATAAAGGGTCCAAAATCAGAAATAGATCCAATATGATCCAATTCCAACCCAAGTTTCCAAGAAGTTGCTGCGATGAAGATCCAACCAATCAAGTCTTAAGTTACCGAAAATTCACATTGAGGTCATGAACTATGTCAACTATGTTGTTATTTGCTTACAACTTATGTTTTAGGACGAGGACATCCAGGTTGTGTCCCCTTTGCTTTGGAACCCAGAAGGCGCACATGTCTTCCTCGAAACCCTCGGGCACTCTATGCATCAGCTCTCTGCTGTCTTGGGACTTGAAGTCTGGATACCATTAAAAAAATGATGCTGTCAACCCTGGTTATCTGATGCCCACTTAACCAATCAATATGGGAGTTCCTCATGTGCGTATACAAATACAAGTATATATATACACACACCCATATACATATACATATACACACATATACACATAATGTATGTATATACATATGTGCATATCTGTTACCAGTAGTACCGCACAAGGCGGTGGCGGAAGTTTCAAAAATAGGAAACCTTTAGGAGAGACTGGTCGTTGTGAATCACGGATGGCAGAGCGAATCCACTGATGGACCGAAAGGTTGTTGGAGCTGTGTTTTTTGGAGTGGCTGCAATGGTTGCAGTGGTCACCTGGTCGGTTAACTCACCCACAACTGCTGGATGTAGTGTGATGTAGCGCAACTGCAGTTGTAGTTGTAGTGTAGTGGAGTTGTAGTTATGGTGTAGTGTAATTAATGTAGTGTAGTTGCAGTTGCATATATGGTGGTGTAATGAGTGTATTGTAATGTAATGTAATGCAATGTGGGGTATGGTAGCGTAGTGTAGTGTAATTGAGTGTAGTGTGGTGTGGTATAGTGTAGTGTAGCGTAGTGTAATGCAATTAGTGTAGTGTACTGTAGTGTAGTGTAATGTAGTGTAGTTTAGTGTAGTGTAGTGTAATGCAATTAGTGTAGTGTAGCTGTAGTTGTAGTTGCAGTTGCAGTTGCAGTTGTAGTTGTAGTTAGTGTTGTAGCGTAGTGGAATGCAGTGTAGTGTAGTGCAGTGCAGTGCAGTGCAGTGTATTGCGGTGCAGTGCAGTGCAGTGCAGTGCAGTGTAGTGTAGTGTAGTGTCGCATGGTGTAGTGCAGTGTAGTGTAATTGGGTGTAGTGTACTGTAGTGTAGTGGACTGTAGTGTAGTGAGGTGTTGTGCAGTGTAGTGGAGTGGGGCGTAGTGTAGTGTAGTGTAGTGCAGTGTAGTGTAATTGAGTGTAGCGTACTGTAGTGTAGTGGAGTGTAGTGTAGTGAGGTGTAGTGTAGTGGAGTGGGGTGTAGTGTAGTGCAGTGTAGTGTCATTAGTGTAGTGTAATGTAATGTAGTGAAGTTGCAGTTGCAGTTGTAGTTGTAGATGCAGTGCAGTGTCATTCAGTGTAGTGTACTGCAGTGTAGTGTAGTGTAATTACGGTAGTGTAGTGTAGCGTACTGTAAATGTAGTATTGTTGTAGTTGTAGTTGTAGTTGTAGCTGTAGTTGTAGTTAGTGTAGTGTAGTGTAGTGTAGTGTCGTGTCGTGTCGTGTCGTGTCGTGTAGTGCAGTGTAGTGTAGTGTACTGTAGTGTAGTGTAGTGCAGTGCAGTGCAGTGCAGTGTAGTGTAGTGTAGTGGAATGTAGTGTAGTGTAGTGTAATGCAATGTAGTGTAGCGTAGCTGAGTGTAGTGTAGTGGAGTGTAGTGGAGTGTAGTGTAGTGTAGTGGAATGTAGTGTAGTGTAGTGTAGTGTAATGTAATGTAGTGTAGTGGAATGTAGTGTAGTGTAGTGTGCTGTAATGTAGCGTAGTGTAGTTTAGTGGAGTGTAGTGTGGTGTAATGTAGTGTAGTGTAATTGAGCGTAATTGAGTGTAATTGAGAAGGTGTAGCTGTAGTTGGAGCGTAGCGTGGTGTAGTGGTGGTTGTAGTTGAAAATGCTACAAAACCCTCACGTGTTGCTCACTTTTGACAAGGTGCTCAATCCCTTGCGCCTGCCACGCCAAACGACATTTGAACGTCCAAAGGTGGTCCGAACCCCTGGTGTTTTTTAACATGTTGATTTCGAAATGTGCTTCGCGCCACAACGGCGTGCACTTTTTCAACATCGCAACTTCCAAAAGTGGTCCGAACATTTGGTGCTTTGTACATTTTGACTTGGAAATGTGGTTCGTGCCACAACGGCGTGCAATTTTTCATCTCTCATCTGGCCAGCTGGCTCCGCACCCGCCGCTTTAGCGAGCCTACTTTTCGACCCTCTGGAGCCACAAATCATTGGAAAAACACGGTGTTTCGCGACTTTCCTACCTTTTCGCGCACTTCTTTCTTCTGAGGCTTTCTCTTTTGTGATCTTCTTTCTTCTTCTCTTCTCTTCTCTGACTCTTCCCATCTCTGCTTTTCATCTGTCCATATTGTCGGAAGTTTGACTTCTAAACTTCCTTCGATGATATCTATATTTCGAATTCTCGCTATTTGGGGCCCAGAAATGACTGGCAACGAGTCCTGCCTGAGATATCTTTGGCTTTCTGCTGAGCCAAACTCCTCGACCGGGTGCCCCACGGCATCGTCCATGGAGCTACGAAAAAACATACTCAAAAATATGGAAAAAAAAACTATTACTACCAAGTTACCGTGTTTTCTGGTGCCAAAATCATGGGCACATAGGATCTGAATGTTTTTTTGGATATCCAGCATGACATGATCCCAAGGGGATCCCAGGATTGACCACAGAATCAGGTGTCCCATCCGAAGGTCACAATTGGGTGATTCTTGTTTCATCCCTTGCCCCCTGATATCATATATATATATATATACGGCATATATATATATGATATCATATCATATCATATCATATCATATCATGTATATATATATATATATATCATATGTATATATATATATTCAATACCCCCCCGCAAGAGAAAGCCTGGTGAAGCCCCAATCCCCGCAGTCCCCTGGACACGACTCTTGGAGCCATTGGAGCGGCGCCGTGGCTCCTTTTTGCGGTGCTGACAGAGAGAGTAGGACAGAAATCGTGTATCATAATATATATATATATAGATAGAAACTATCAATATGTACATAATATAATGGAAACTATCAATATAGTAATATTATGGAAACTATCACAATATAGAAACTATCATTATGTACATTGTACATATATATATATATATATAGATACTGTCATAGATATGATATATATATAGCATAGCATAGAAACTATCATTATGTACATTGTACATATATAGATATGGTATCATAGCCAAACCCCCTTGATTTCTCATTACCAATGAAAAATGACGCTACAAGGGACCCATTTTTTTTCGGAACACTTCCAGATCTACAAGTTCTTTACATGCACATATACCATCATATATCATTGATTGTCATCATCTTACTCTTTAAAATGGCCAGAGAAATTGGGATCCAGCCTCGATGCTTGTGCGATCCAGGTGATCCAGCTGATCCAGATGCATAGCCGCTGAGGCATCAACAGCCACCTCAAAAACCGAGGCACTTTGGGACCAAAACTTGGCAAATCACGGGAAAATCCATTGGTTTTGATACGGGATTTCTAATACAGATATCAATGGATTGGTTTAAGGGAAAATCTACAGGAAACCATGGATTGTCCCATTAAATATGGGGCTTTCCTGTAAATTTTCCCTTAAACCAATCCATTGAAGATACAATGGGTTTCTACTGAACCATATGGTTTGGGTCTCACAATAAGATGTATCCCATTCGATGGCAATTTTAACAGGGAAAGTGATGATTAACTGACGGAATTTGGGGTACCCTATTCTCAGACAAACCCAGATGGAACATGATTGAATTTATTCTGTGTGTTATGAAAGATGTAATGTGTCACCATAAGTAATAATTCTATATACAGTGCTTTCCTTGAAGTTGTCCCTTTTGGCAACCCAAAACATATGCAGAAAATGGTTCAATCTACCGCCATTTTAGTTGATCTTTACATGATGTTGAACCTTTTCTAGCTTTTTGGGAGTTGCAAAACAAAACTATAATTTAAGCCATGAAACTACCACTCACCTGTTGCGATGGGCCAATGTGTGTGTTTCTTAATAGGGCTCGGCCGCAAGACTATTCTTCAGCGACATTTCAAACTGTAGATGCTCCTGAACTTGAAGCCATATCTGGCTCTTCAATATGACTGACAAGCTCGAAAAGCTCACCTGCTCTATTCAAACGATGACCAACTTGTCCTGGGACGAAGTACGCCTAAAAACTGGAAGGTTGACACTAAGTTGACACTAAAACTGCCACTAAAAACGTGGTAATTCTGAGCCAAAAAATGCCTTAAAGCCATACCATGTTGAGAAATGCTGGTGTTTGCGCTTGTGTTTCTGATTCTTGTTGTTCCTCGATGGACGAGAATCATTATCACAGACTGCAGGTAATTTTCTGAAAAATCACCCCAATGGAAAGCGTGTAATTTAGGGGTTCACCACTATCTAACCACAACATTTGCTCATGTTTATCCATGCTTAAACCAAGATTTGGGCAAAAAATCTGAGGAACCAGGAATAAAGATCCAGCCGTTTGGGGTTCAACTTCGTTGAAACTCCATCCCCTTGGACAAGCATAAAAAATCGGGTCAACGTTTACATCATCATGGGAAAACCCCACCATTTTCGATAGGCAAACCCAGATCTTCCAGTCTTGGCTTCCAGTTCAGAACCAAGGCACCTGCCATGTCTTCCTCCTTGAGCTGTGAGCCTTGGCAACATAGATGTTTTCATACGCTGTGTCGGACGTGTGGAAATGGAAATGGAAAAATCATGGGAAAATCCTGGGTTTTTAAGCGATATATATGATATATATATATATATATATACGTATATACTGGTTTTATACTGAGATATATTACCAACTTAATGTGATTTGGGTGTCTGAAAATAAGGCGCAACCGTGTAACCATTTGATTGCCATTTTAAAAGGAAGAATAGTACTAAAAACCATCATCAAGCAATTGATTTAGGGGTACCCCCATTCCCAGACAAACCGATATAGATTTGCATGGCTTTCCGTAGGAAAATGCTCTGAGTTACTCGTGGGCTTTCCATATCTCAATCTACCGTAGGGTATGCGGTAAAACACAAGCTGTAGGACGGTTCTCTACTAACCAGAATACTTGCCAATATGCATTGTCTCAAACCCAATGAAATGACTGGATGGGTATATGACATTCTACAGCTACACATATGCGTTAAGCCGAGTGAAATAGTCAGATGTTGATGCATATGACTGGATATATCCTCTATTCAATCCTAGCAAATAGAAATACCCTATTTGATTCTTATTGACATATGAAAAATCTAGATGAAGAATGAAAACCCTGGAAGAACCAAAACCCTAGCTGGTTGATGAAGAAGTCACACCAAAAGTGATTTTTTGGCCGTGAGAAAGCTACCCCCCAACTTGATCCAACTTGCCCAATAGATACAGGTGGTGATATCGGTGATATCTCAGTTTTTGCTACTTGCATATTTTGCATCCTCATCGTTCAATCCTTATCCCGTTTTTTCAACACTGGGTCCATGTTCCCAAACCAATCCCAAACCGGATTTGGACCTTGTACTTTCCATCCAGCGGCGCCAAAGGAGCCACTCACCTGGGCCTCCCAACTTGCGGAAGGATCTTTTCTTTTCGAAGCACCGGCGACAACTCCTGGCATGACCGGACCCTTGGACAAAGGGGATCAAACATGGCCCGGCAGTGGGTCAAAACCCTGGTACGACATGAAAACAGCTGGTAACAGGATGTTCATTCCCCCCGAGTAATGGTTTCGACTCATCCCAGACATCATCCAATTCATGAAGCTTGCTTTTTTTTGGGAAACAGGCAGGTTGGCCCTGATTCCTACTTCAGAATTGCTGAACATAACATCCTTCAAATTCCTTTTTTGAACCTAAAGATATGGCCATGGCCATGGAAATAACTCATCTTTGATGACCGTCCTACGTCGTAAATTGCTAGTGAGATGGATCATCTGGTGATATCCGTAGAACACTTACCATGGCTCTTGAATTTCACCATTCATAATGCATAAATAAATATAAATAATAGATATGCATAGATCATCAGTGGGACATGTTCCATAGTTATGTTGAATTACCAGAGGGTACATGGATGTAAATGGGGAATTTATTCCTAAATGAGATTCCCTTTTACCATTGTAAGGGTGACTGAAACACCTTTCATGATGTCAACTGGTGAAAAAACCAGTGGGGTAAAGCAACAAAGATATGGAAGACCCATGGCCTCTCCAGGAAATGATCGATGAATCGATGGTTGAATTTCCATGGGCCTATGGGTCAAAACCCATACATGTCTATCATTGTCTATCTATATCTAAAAAAATGAACATCCATAAATCGGAACAAGGGATTCCATAGGGGTTTGATCCATCCCTGATCTACAATCTGGTGTCTCGCAAGTTGCAAGTTGCCGTAAAATCCCAAAAATCAAGTTATATCTACCATACACCCTGGTTATTGAAGTGATTTTGACCAAGTTAGCTAACTTCATTCCATCCAATCCCACTAGACAGCATCAAATCACCATGTTTTTGCTGTTAAAATCCTAATTTTACAAACCTTCACAACACCTCGTATGTTAGTTTCAAAAAAGCAGGGCCAGTGCAGTGACTCCTCCCCCACCCAGGAAGTTCCGCCTCACTTCCTGCACTTCCTAGCAGCAATGGCAGCCACAGCCAGCACCTGAAGCCATGGTGCAACGGTGCAACGCTTCGGGGGATTCTAAAGCCATGGCGTTTAGCCCTGAAATGTGGGAGTTAACCGACAAACATGGGGATATCTTGGGGATTCTTTTTCAGAAGCGATATGCAGCTCATATTGAGCCACACGTCCGCAGCAGCGCACCCTTAATTAGATGGTTGCTTATTTCAATTTTGGGGTTAGACAAGTCCATTGCTCGCGATTTTCTGCAATTGGTATTTCAACAAGTTCAACGAGCAAAACTGCAGAAAATTCATGAAATTTCAAGATCTCATTACAGCTTGACTTTAGAATGTTCATTACGAATGTTCGCAGCCCCCTTTGGTGTCTTGCCATGAGAATCTGAGGGGGGTACAGCAATGTTTGCCTTCAAATTCTGGTGATGATGGGCTCAAAGTACCAAACACCCTGAATCTGTGCTTCTGGAAGTTCGCCGATTTCAGTTGATCCGGATTAGGGTCTCCAGGTACAACACTAGGGGGCCATGATTGGTAAAAATGTGCAAATTTGTAGTTGAGGCACACACAAAAGTTAGGGGTGCATTTCTAACCAGTTTGCGGCTGCCTTGGTGCTACATATGGCTATGGATAGCTTGTGAGAAATTCTGCAGTGATGGGCCCTAGTGCAATGCGCTAATACGGGCCAGCTACAGCTGGGGTGACATAGACTACTTGAGGATTCAAAATTCAACCAACCCTCCAAAAGTGCGAGGATTTTCCCAGGTGGTTTAGATTTGGGGAGCCCAGGGCGGGCCTCATTCCCAGCACAGTGGCTTCACCATGCGGTCGTGGAAAAAACGCTGCGCCAGTGCGCCAAATTGGTGAAACAACGAAAAGCAACCTGGCAAACATTCCCATGGGCCCTGATGTTTTGTACAAAAATGCTATCTTTTGAGATCGGGGATTTTGGAATCATAGAACATCTCGGAGTTCATGCTGATTTCGTCCAGATGTCCCACCTTGTTGCGTCATGATGTTGCTGATACCTCCTCATGATTCGGACCAGAAACCTGTGTCCAACACTTGTTTTCATGTCAAACCTGTCAACCTCAGATTCATAAACTCCTGATTCTTTTGTCCAATCAAAGGTGGTGTAGTTCAACTATATGTCAACCAAAGATGGAAAGATTCGAAGATCGACCAACGAAGCAGTCTAGACTGCTTCGCAGTCGAGACTGCTTTGCAGTCGCTGCATGAAAGGCCTGAAATTTGCTGCGGCGAGTTCTCATTGCAACCAGCGGAGAACATGGTCAATCGTTTTTGCGCTGCAAAAAAACTCGAGTTTGTGCTAGCTAAAATACAGCATTGTGCATCCCTGCTTATGCGAAAGAAATATCAAAATAAGACATTGACTTCTGCAACCAAGGTTGGGACCAGATAAGGCCTTTTAGGCGTTTGAAACTCTAAACTGTTCAAATGTTTGACCCACAAAAAAGGATGGTCGCGCACATTATAGACCAGTAATTGTGCAAATCCATTAGTACCCCATGTGTGATCGCTCTATGTAGCACAGTTTGGTCTGAGTGGTGCGAGTTCTAAACAGCCTGAGTCCACCCATCCATGGAAACTTGTAGAGAACCAAATGATGGAACCCCCATTCCCATCCGCATCCCATACCACTGGGGTTTCTTATGGGAATAGTAGGGGAGGGTTACCATCGGGGGTCCCGATAAATTCCAAAGCCAGCTCTTTCCCACGTCACCTCTATGATATTTTTCTTCTGCTCGTGGCTGAGAATCGGCAAAGTCCCACACTTCGATGGACCACCAGTGGATGGTGAGATCAACCCGTGAATCATCATTGGTTTCCCTGTGGATTACCCCTCTGGTCGAACCTGGCAATGGAAACATACCATTTTACAAAAGGTCTTCGGTTGAAAAAACTCCATCGGTATAGAAGGCTTCCCCGAAAGCCAGGTTTGCCAAGTACCCAAACCTCACCATTTCCACGAACCCATAAAGCAAAGATTACAACCCTGTGGGCCATGTGCAGAAACTACCACGAGCACAGCTGACATCAAGCTTTCTGACGTGCACAAAAGCCGAGATGAGTTGAGACTAGTTTCGGTGAGATGAGAAAGGTTGAGCTGCGCTCAGATGACATGAAAATAATCAAGAAGAACTTAGTTGACATATGGGAAAACATGAAATGAGATGAGAAGAGCTCAGATAAGATGAGTTGAGGTGCAAGTGTGAAGTGTGGAGTGTGGGGTGTGAAGAGTGCAATGTGAAGTGTGAGGAAAGTGTTTGCTTGGCGTTGCACTGCACCGGGGTCGCGTGCAGGTCATGTTCGTGGACAACAACGCTGCAACAGCTTCGCACAAAGCACGCACGCACGGGCCTTGCTGGCGCACGGCGCATGCAAGTTCTCGAAGTAGGCGAAGGAAGTTTAGAAGTCAAACTTCCGACAATATGGACAGATGAAAAGCAAAGCAGGGAAGAGGCAGAGAGAAGAGAAAGATTAGAAGAAAGAAGAGTAGAAGAGAAAGGGTAAAAAGAAAGAAGATGCAGATGCGAGAAAAGGTGGGAAAGTCGCGGTTCTAATCAATGCACTTCCCTCACAAATCAAAAGGCTACTCAAGCAATTTCCTTTTCCGGTGCTGTTGTTTGATCTGTTTCTGGATGCCATTTCTGCATCCTTCAAAGCAACATAAGCTGTATGGATCGATTCGACCGATCCACTAAGAGTTTAGAGAGATATTGACAGCCCAATGTATATCACAAGCGGTGAATAAAGAAAGCAACAGCCAAAAACATGACTAATAGCAGAATGTGTGATTCCAAGGGCTAGAAAATATTGGAGATGGCCATTTGGACGTGCTACCACTCTCAAAGACCAGGAATTGCTAAGTGAGTTGGAAGCAAAAGCAGGACAATACCATGAAAATTGAAATGAAGAATCAATGCACCACTGGTGGTCTGAGAGTGATGAAGTGAAACTGAAGCTGGTAAGCCCTCGATCCCCGAAACCAAATTGGTGGTGAATCTCGAAATTGATGGTCAAAGAGGAAACAAGTTAACGTTGAATCCAGAATGAAAGATATTATAGGTTGAGGGAGGGTGGGAAAATTTGTGATTCCCATAGGCAAATGATGTTGTGAGTGAAGTGCTTGAACCAGCGTTGCGGGGTTGATAAATTAAAACATCCATGAACAAGTACATGAAAAGTTCTAATCAATGCACTTACCTCACAAATCAAAAGCCTACTCAAGCAAGTTTTTTTCCGGTGCTGTTGTTTGGTCTGTTTCTGGATGCCATTTCTGCATCCTTTAAAGCAACATAACTTTTATGGATCGATTCGACCAAATGAAACTATAAAACAGTGCTGGTTTGAAACGCATAGATAACCTACCAAACGAAGAGTGGATCAAATCAGCACCGGAAGGCTAGGAAGTGGGTAACGCCCAAAGAAGTTGAAGATTCTGTGGAACTACTCGCAGGGATGATTTAATCATCCATAATTCGGATAAAGTGAGTCTAACACGATTGGATGGTGTGAAACCTGTTGGAAGAGTAGATTTAAAGTCCCATCTGCTCAAAAGATCTGCTATGACATTGTCCACTCCACTGATGTGAGAAGTGTCCATATCAACGTTTAAAGAACTACTGAGTTGGCCAATTTTCTCCAAAAAGAAACACAATGACTCGCTAGTGGTGAAAAGTTGATTGACTCCGGCTTCAGCTGAAATATTGTAGGCAGAGTCACTCGAAGTCGTTGGTGAGGATATTGGAATGCAAATGTGTGCAATAATGCCATCTGAGCCAAAGTCTCGTAGCAAGCAATGTCTTTTTGAGCTTCCAATCGCATTGGTAATCCCAAAGCCGTGACCTCTGCAACACTAAATCTTTCAGAAAACCAAAATCTAGAATCGGAACCCGTGGCACATGCATTGGCAGCTGAGAAACCCGGCCAAATCGGCTTGGGGTACATGGAACGGAGCGGGCATAGATTTGAAATCCAGGTACGAAAAAGATGAAGACATCTCACGCTTGATTTGCTTAGGGATCCAAATGATTCCAAAGTCCAGGCCACATGCCCGGGTCAATGCTGCATATCAGGAGATGAAAACAAGTCCGCGTAAAAATGCTGAAGTAGGGGTCTTATGCCTGAAAATAATTGAGTACAGTTCAAGATTCCCGCCGCGGATGCTGTTTGTGTCAAAGTAGCTTCAAGATTGAAATTTTTCGCACATGGCAGCCTGCAAAGCTTCAGCACATCTGATAAAATAAAGGGGCCAAAAACAGACCCGCCAGGAGGGACCACTTTCGATCCTAAGAGGGTCCACTTTTGGACCCCTTTTGAAATACATTTGCTTTGCGCAAGGGTCCAAAACTGGGCCCTCAACATTCTGAATCCGGTGCCTCCCTGGGGGCCTGTTTGATGCCCCACTCAAATACTCTCTTGAATCGTGTTGCTCGAATCTAGCTGCATACATCAACGTCACACATAACATAGCAACCGCGAGGTGGCAACCAGGGGCCTCGAACAAGGGAGGCCCCTACCGCGTCTCCAAAAAGTATGCCGATTTCAGGGGCCAAAAATGAACCCTCTGAACATGGCGAGGTGCTGCTCCGAGAGTAACAGAAAGATCAGTAAATGTGGAAACACTTTCCCTCTACATTGCCAAATTTTGAAGGTGCAAAAGTGCAACTTTTTCAGCGTAGGAAACAGAACCTATATACTTTCTTATTCACACTTCCGAAAGTTGCACGTTTGCACTCTGCTTTTTCTCTATCTAGTTTTTGGTAGCAAAATAAGAGAAATCGACCACATTGTTATTCCATCAGAAGTGGTTTGCCTGCGACCTTATCCGCCACAATTTCTCAAAAATGGGCACGTTCCCCCGCACCCCTTCCACACAATGATTCAGCAAAGTAAGACAATCATTCTTTGCAGCATCTGCACACATACAGACTCTGCGAACTGCAACTAGCTGCTTCACACGAAACTTGCACTTTGATCTTTGTTTCGGGGGGCAAGGGGGGATGCCGGGTCTGTCACGTGCACTTGAGCCAGCTCAGGGGTCCAAGGTGGCGTCTGGACGGCTTTTGCTTCTACCTGAAACAAAGAACGGTCTGTTTTTTGGACCTTAAAAAACAAGAAAAACTAGAGGCGCAAATACGGGCCTCCCCAGTTCAAGATTCCCGCCGCGGATGCTGTTTGTGTCAAAGTAGCTTCAAGATTGAAATTTTTCGCACATGGCAGCCTGCAAAGCTTCAGCACATCCGATAAAATAAAGGGGCCAAAAACAGACCCGCCAGGAGGGACCACTTTCGATCCTAAGAGGGTCCACTTTTGGACCCCTTTTGAAATACATTTGCTTTGCGCAAGGATCCAAAACTGGGCCCTCAACATTCTGAATCCGGTGCCTCCCTGGGGGCCTGTTTGATGCCCCACTCAAATACTCTCTTGAATCGTGTTGCTCGAATCTAGCTGCATACATCAACGTCACACATAACATAGCAACCGCGAGGTGGCAACCAGGGGCCTCGAACAGTTCAAGCTTCCACTCGCAGCTGTTGCTGGTCAAATCAGCTTCAACTTGAAATAAACGCTTCAACAGATTTGCCACAATGAAGGGGCCACAACTGGACCCTCCAGGGGGCATCACTTTTGATTTCAAGCGGGTCCACTTTCTGATCCCTTTTTAAACACGTTTCCTTTGGACGGGGGTCCAAAACTGGACCCTTAACAGATTGAACTTGAAGTAGTTGGCAACTGTGCTGCCTTGCTAGAATTTTAGGCCGCAGCTGGCGCAAAGGACACCTCAAGGCAAGCCTCGATTTTTAAACACGTTTCCTTTTGGACGGCGGTCAAAACTGGACACTTAACAGATTGAATCCGGT